CATTTTTTTTCAAATTTATTTTGGGGGTGACAAAGGGGGGTGCGGTCGCACCCATCGCACCCCCCCCCCCCATCTGACGGCCCTGTATAAAACAGGAAAGTTCAAAAGATTAAGACACAGAATGGTACAGCTTTAAAACAATATGGGAGAAAAGAGAGTACAGCCTAAAACAGAATGGTACAGAACATTGCCCTATAATAAATGCTTGATATACGAGCATTACCCATTTACATAAAATGGGAAGGTGTTTCAGAAAAGGAATAAATAATTCAGAAATCCAAATAGACCTCCACCTTTCCCATAAAAGATAAATTAAAAGACCACAACAAAACACAATCTGAATCAGTAATTAGTACACAGCAGTGGTTGCATTATCCTAATACCCCCATCCATTTGTGTTGTTTCAAATTATATCAGCTAATGTCAGAGTAAATCTTATATGATAAAAGACCTGGCTTAAAGTACAGCATGCCGGATTTTCTTCGCCTGTTTCACCAGAACTGAACACTTAAAAACTTCTAAACAACTAATTAGTAATGCTGCAGATGTATTAAATACAAACAGGGAACTGATGGATTATGACAATGTTCCATACTCAGGAAGTCTCATCCTTGCTGCAAGGGTATTTTACAAGTATATACCCTTGCTTCTCTCTATTCAATTGTTGGGCTTGAGCAAACAAACTGGACATTAAACAATATAAGCCTACACCACATACCCTAAGAGAACTACTACACACAGTGTACAAGGGTAATTAAAATCCTGTTGAATGGTCCACAAAGCTGTCTTTATACTATAGTGGTATGCCCTTACATATCTTATGACTTAGAAGTTTGTAATCTTTACCACAAAAATCATAGGATCTATAAAAATATTAGCTTAAGAATGAAACATCATCCGTAGAACATTCTATAGTATGTCCAAAATTAAAATATTTAACAATTTCACGAAAAAGAAAAAGAATACTGCAAAAATAAGGTGGTTTGAAGAGACACAAATGGTAAGATTATTCATAAGTTCCAGGAAATGAGACATGTAATTGGACAATTTGCACAACGCATATTCTGCGTTGACCACTAGGAAACTCAGCTTATATAAGGCCCCAAGAATGAAACTACCTGGGCTTGAGTGAAGGGCTGAATTTAAGCATAAATGAAGTCCTTTGAAGAAGGATGAGGAAGTCTCACCATTTATCATTTGTGGAAAAGTATCGTTCTCTGCTACCTGAACAATGAGTGAATCACTAAATTATAAATCAAACCTGAATAACTTGTAAATGTTCCAAAGATGTTGATGTTGGTGGGTCTAACTGTATCATATTGTGATTCAGAAAAAAATTGAATACTGAATTACTGTTATGTCACCACCACAAGTGGTGACATAAGGTCTTTTAGTGGACGGCGGTTGATGTTCAGCATTCAGTGTCTGTAACAAATGGCAGGTAGTGACATTTTGCATGTTAATGCCTCGTTTAACAGTTGTATTTATTTCTGACTGATTGCAAAGACCATGCAAATTTTACACAGAAGCAAGGAAAAACTTTAGATCTGAAAGTAATCAATGTATCTGATAATTATCTAAACCAAGTCTGAAAACAGAGAAAGTTTTGGGAACAAGTCTACTGAAACTCAATGAACTTTTTATTATTTTCATGAACCCACTTGCTTCAAAAATTACAAAAATGTTGGTAGTCTTTCTGATAGGGCTGTTATTAATAGTATATGAAAGTAACAAATTATATTTCTATGTTTTATGCCTACTTAAAGGCAATGTTTATATTTATCTTTTTAATGACAAACACATAAACACAACATTAAATATATTTTAAAATTAATCACGTGGATTGTTAATAACACTAAGAAATCAAAAATTAAAAACAGATATATCATTTTAAGAGAGAAAATACTCATACATGTACAATAACATTATTGTAGTGTTTAGCTTAAGATACACAACATTTTTTAATAATATATATAATATTCCTCATAAATAAATAAAACACATGATATTTTGCAGTAATTTACATTTACGAATAATGAATAATTTCTTACAAATTCAGCTTCATTTGTCAATTCTACATCATTCATAGAAACACAGACTTTAGGTCCGTGATAGAAATGAAACCAGAAATGAGGCATACACATAGCAATTTACATTTTTGTATATCAGTGAATAATATAAACAATCTGTGTCAATGGTTGTCATAAGTTTAGTAATCTAGTCCGGTTTTGGTTTCCATTATGGTGTTACCTTTACTTTGCAGAGACCCTGCAGAAAAATTCTGACCTATGCTTTTTCTTAAAAAATTCTGGCTTAGTCAAACCTGGTAATTTTTTTTTCAAAATTGACAAGGTTCTTAAATGGTCTATAAAATTTAAAACTTTGAGCCATCCCCTGAAAGTTGGAATCTCTTGAAAGCTGATTATGGGGATGTATAGTTCAGCCATTACCCTTTAATATAAAAGCACAAAATACATTAAGGTTGAGTGAATGTAAGTTCAGTTAATGCTGATATAGTAAATATACAATAATACATATGTATAGTTATGTAAATATAGTACAAAATATAGTGCTTATTATCTACACAATATCTCAATTGTTAGTATCACGCGTGTTAAAATATTGTAAACTAGTAAAATTAAAATAAAAAATTTGAATGTCATATCATGATTGGTCTTTGTAACTACATCTGTGTCTGGCATGTATTATCTACATGTGTGTTACACAACATTTACAATTTGAGGATTTAACATAAAGGCAACATTTGAAAGTACAATCTGAACATTTGTAAAGTTTCTCAAAACAATTAAAGCGATGAATGAAAATTCTATTTTCTTTATGGAATAACTGGTTCTAATTTTTCATCTGCTATCAAATATTTTTAAACATCGGAAACTGAATATTTGGTACAAACCCCAAATTTTTTGATTTTATGTTCTGTTTCAGAAATAATACTCACTAAAAAACTCACTCAACAAAATGACCTTAACTGCTGTTCTTTTGAATTGATATACTGATACACCAGCAGGGGCAATGTAAGACCAAGACTCATTAAGTTTGTCAAAGAAGGCAGCAAAGCCCATCAGAAACCATCTCTGCCTGTACTCCAGCCCAACATTCTCACCAAGGCAACAGACTGGACTTTAAGAACTGACCTCTTCCAAAAACGTGTCTTCCCACAGGATATAGTAGTCACCAAGCTCCGTCCCGACATGCTGCTGATATCACAGCTCAGCAGGAGCATCATCATCATCGAGCTCACAGTACCCTGGGAAGACCGACTGGAAATATCCCATCAGCTTAAGAAAGCCAAATACCAAGATCTGGTAGACGAGGCCATAACAAGGGGGTGGCATGCAGTGCAGTACCCAATAGAAGTGGGATGTAGGGGGTTCCCAGCCTCCTCGCTGGGCTACCTTCTATCTCAGCTTGGACTAACACCATCCAAGCTGAAGTCGGCAGTTAAGGCAGTAGGTGCTGTGGCAGAGTCCAGCTCACGGTGGCTCTGGCTCAAGAGGAATGACAAGTGGTGTCCTTCAGCGAGCGATGTTTAAGACCTTACCATCGCTGCCCCACTCAGATTATGCATACAGGCTAAGGGGCGAAATGTGACGATCTGAGACGCCTGCTGATGACGCAGTAAAGGACACTCACTTAATTTTCCTACGAAGCCATCCACAAGAAGTAGTTCCTTTTTCCGTTTGTAGCGATGCATCGTTGATGTTTATTTGAAAAAAAAAAATAATACAGCAATTATTTCAAATGCAACATCTTCTGTGCATTTATAAAAGATGTACAGTACATCTATAGTTCTAGACAGAGTGTACAATTCTACATTGATTCTCTTTATCCTTTGTGTCCTTTCTTCAATCTCTTAATAAGGTGGATCAATGGAATTCCATGTTAAAGTAATCATTGGAAGTAAACCATGCTGTTGTGCCCATCTTGACACACAAGGAACACGTCAACACAAACGCACCTACGTCTTAAATTGCGCAAAGTTGTAATGTTTTGCTGATGGCTATTTACATATAATATAAAAAATCAATAAAAAAAGAAACAGTTGTTTAAAGAGATAATACCATTAGGAAAAGTTATTTTAACTCGACACATAGCAATGACCTCAAAAACCTTTACCTGTTATATTTGTAAATGCATTTATAAAGCAAACACTTTTATTTCAATCCTAGTTTTTTTGTGTCCAATTAACCATGTTTACAAATCTCTAATAAGAGCACCTTGTAATATGAACACTTTTAGCAGGTGTTCTTAGATACAATATATATTTGTCCATTTTTTATCGTGTTGTTATTAAATTGTGTTCATTGAATATTTTTCTATCAAATACTCTTTAAGTATAATGTACAGTTTTATCACTCTATATCAAAATACTGCATTGAAATGCATTTATAAAGCAAACACTTTTATTTCAATCCTAGTTTTTTTGTGTCCAATTAACCATGTTTACAAATCTCTAATAAGAGCACCTTGCAATATGAACACTTCTAGCAGGTGTTCTTAAAAAACAATATATATTTGTCCATTTTTTATCGCGTTGTTATTAAACTGTGTTAAGTGAATACTTTTCTATCAAATACTCTATAAGTAAAATGTACAGTTTTATCACTCTATATCAAAATACTGAATCTTTGATGAGTAGTGCTAGTGATTTATTGACACACAAGGGACAAAAACTTAATGTGTTAATTATGATCAGTTTCTCAGAAGGCTATTCATTTCTCACAAAGCCATTCATTCACTCAATACCTCTACAGGCTCTTGCATAGGAATTCATTTTGTGTTTTAATAGCAACTACTTATGTACATAATAATAGACTACTACAATAATAAACTTATAGAATTTTATTATTTATACAACACACTACCCTATACCCCAATACTGTAGCCTGTATTTCTTCAAAATAGATACAGGCGTCAGTGAAGTTGCAAATGAAGGACGTTTGCTTATTTCCATATTTCTGAAGGTATACTAGATTTTACATATATTCCAAGTGTTCTACTTTACATTGTATACATTCATCGAGCAGTTTGCAATGTATTATTACAAGAAAAGTCCTGGAGACAAGGACAGAGAATACCCCCTCCATTTGCAACTTCATTGAAGCCTGTATCCCTTTTAAATGTGGTCATGTGGTAGGGAAGAGTGACAACCAAAGTTGATTATTATTTGAGCATAAACATATTGACTTATTCTGCATCCATTCCTGATCCTATCAATGCAACTTGGTCCCTTATAAGTTGAATGTTCACATCTGAACACAATATACTGCTGGTTAATGTAATATGTGGTGACTCAGTTCTTAGTTTATATGTACATAACTGCAATAATACATAACTGTGGTTGTTTATAACTACTATGCGTGTGTATATATATATGGTGGCTCAATTAATATATAAATTGCAAATTTATATGTGGTGATTCAATTGATATGTAAACTGCAAATTTATATGTGGCTATTCAATTGATATGTAAATTGCAAATTTCTATGCTGCGATTCATGGTTCAGCACATATTGCCAAATTTCTATGTGGCGATTCATGGTTCAGCACATATTGCCAAATCTCTTTGTGGTGACTTAATGTTGGTCTAGGTACTGCCGAGACAGAGCTAGGAGTCTATATCTCTGACGTAAATTCCTGGCTCTAGCGTGAGCATTGTGGATCTCTACTGTGTAGGTTGAGGGAAACCATCCTTTCTCCCCATCTCGCATCCTCTCTCCCTCATACCAACCTAAAAAAAATACTAACTTTTGAAATTGGGTATACCTGAATGGTTATTTCCCCGCAAAACCAGTATATACATCTTAAAGTACGATGCTTCCACATAGCATATAAGCTACTGGCTTGGCAAAGTGATAATGTCTTTTTGCATTTGTGAAAGACTATGCATTTAAATTGATCATTTCAGAGCTCAGGCTTGCGTAGCATTAAACAAGGTATTAAAATGCTATGATCTGGTTGCAATAAGAACCAGTGTAACTATTTGTTACAGATGTCAACACTGAATACTGATGAATTTCTATCACAAAAAGGAGAACATAATGCTTTCACTTCAGGCCCCTAGCCAGGGGGGTTCGCAGGGTACGGGCGAACCCCCCTGGCCAAATTTTTTTCAAAATCATGCAGTTTTTCACCATTTTGAGCACTTCTTAAGTGATTTTAGCCATATTTGGGCCAAAATTGTAAAATGTGAACCCCCCCTGGAAATTTTTGAAAAATGATCCCCCCTTGGCAAATCCTGGCTACGGGCCTGCACTTGTCACCACTTCTTAGTCTTAGGTGTTTTGCTCAGTACTTATGATTATGGTTAAGTTTTGAGGAACCTACCATCTGCCATCTTCCTCGTCACATTGATGATGTCAGACTCCTCCAGTGTCAGCTCATCTGGTTGTTCTGATGTGTAAGCATGCACCACTTGCACCTGGGGACAGTCTAGAAATCAGTTTAAAATCAGGATAAATTTTTTAAGATATAACATTTTCAAAGATTGTTTGAATATACAATAGATCATTTCCAGAAAAGACTGACATGTAATTAGATTAAAATATATTCGCAAGATGAGTTATATTTGGAAGTTTCATGTAATTTCATTAAAAAATAGCAAAGTTAGAGCAGGGCGTCCAAGACTTTTGGATCACCCATCATACAAAAGGACAAGCCAATGTCTCTTAAATAGTATCAGATATGCCACATGGCAGGTTCCAATTTCACTTTACACAAGAACTAATATGCTATTTTTGAATTTCACATGAGCATTTTAAATGGACACTTGAGAAAACTGGGAGGTTTAATTACATTATGTACTGCGCCCTCGGGAGGGTTTACAGCTGTTCATGATCCAATTATGATGCATAACATCAATATCAGAATTTGTGAAATAATACAAAAGGGATTATTTTACCACAAAAAATGCTAGTAAAAAATAGGAATTCTCTGGAGTAATAAATTCTACCGAACAAAATATCTTTTATCAAATCATTTGCCATTTTAAACAGTTCATGATAGAAATAATCAGGGAATAGAATTGGAAATTCCTTCTCAAGCAGACATTATAACTGCAGTGCATTATATCATCAATCTCTGCATCCAAGGTCACTTGTTAAAGGGGCAACAAGGACTGTTGAGAAAAAATGTGAAATTTTTTTTTTCTGAGCTATCAGGTCAATATTTGGCTTAACACCTTCTTTGACATACCTATTTTCTTGAAATGTATGAATAAGCCACACGGTGAACAGAATCGCACCCTTGAACAGAATACACTTTTCGAGATGGAAAATTCAAAATGGCCACCTTAACATTTACCCAGACTGCCTAGAATCTAATCAGATCTAAACTTTCCATAGAAACATCACTAAAATTTTAGGATGAATCCATGAAACCTGTAAACAACCCTCAAGAGACACGTTTTAAGGTATTACTTCACAGTGTATCAGCTATTTTTCTACAATTCAGATTTTCCTGAAAAAAATCCTGGTAAAAGATATACTGATGTATTACAAAATATGTGAAAATTGGAAAGATTGACCGTTTAGTTATTTCTTAAAATGTTTTAATTTAACATTGCTCTCAATGTGAAATTCTTTTTTATTTTTTAAAACAAGCCTTCACAGACACGATTTTAGGACGAAAAATCCAAAATGGCCACCTTAACATTTACCAAGAATGCCGAAAAACTAATCAGTTCTAAACTTTTATAGGTAGAAACATCCCTGAGAATTTCAAATGAATCCCTCAAACGGTTTGGCAGGAAACCTGTAGACAAGCCTTGACAGACAAGATTTTAGGACGGAAAATCCAAAATGGCCGTCTTAACATTTATCCAGAATGTCGAAAAACTAATCAGTTCTAAACTTTCACAGGTAGAAACATCCCTGAGAATTTCAAATGAATCCCTCAAACGGTTTGGCTGGAAACCTGTAGACAAGATTATTCGGGAAGTCCGCCCGCCTGGCAAACTGATTACAATATAGCACCTTAAGGTTCGATAAAAACTATCAATTTCAGCATTAAGAAGTGTAAATTCTATAATTCTATAAAGGGAGAGAGGAATATCAGCTGAAATAATGTTGATCCAGGGGGTTTCTTTGGAAATAATGAAAAGATTATTATGTTAGTCTTGATGAAAAATCCAAACTTAAATATATTTTGACACTGGTCGATGATCATTGAATGACCCCCTGCACTAATTGTTGCATCTTTAAACAGTAGTGGAGTCAAGGAGACAAAAGGACTCTCCAGATTAAAATTGATACTTTGCCAACTTGACACGTTTTATTGAAAATATGTTCTTTTAGCAATCTTATATCTTTTAGGTGATTTTGTAGAAAATATTTTGATATAATATCTTACCCCAGGCCTCATATATCTTCTCATCATCATTTTCCTGAGCAGCAGGGGTCAGTGCTTCAACCCATCTGGTCCTCTCACTCCTGGAATATCACATTATTCACATATTAAATCAATTGGTCTAGTGCCTAGGTCACATTTCCCTCGATTCATCGGCCAGCGCCCGGCCAACTGCAGTATTTTGTTCAAAACTGATTTCAACTTGCTTCCTATTGACCAAACCTTTTTTTAAATCATGTACAAGTTCTCAGGAATTCACACCTGTCCCAAGATTTGAAATTTGAACATCAATTTTGAAAAAAATACTCAATCAGCCAGGCGCTAGCCGAAAAATCAGGGCAAATGTGGCCTAGGCCTCAATATGATACTTCATTCCAGTTGCCAAATCGAAGATGGCAATTTGTATTTGAGTTATCAAAAAAATATATATCTAATGAAATAAGAGTGCCATTTTGAATTCAGCAGTCATTTTGGAAATTTCTTCCTTATGTCTATAAGGCATCGGCACATAAAATTTGAACCAAATCAGTCAACTATTTAATCCATTTGAACAAAAAATGACAGCCATTTTAAACTGAGTGGCCATATTGGAAAGACCAAATCTGTCAAACAGTATTTGAGTTATCAATCACATTTGTCATGAAAAATGACAGCCTTTTTGAATTAAGCAGCTATTTTGAAAATTTTTCTTGACCAGAGGTCCTTTGCTCATAAGGTATAAGCATATAAAATCTGAACCCAATCCACCAACCAGTACTGGGGTTATCGCCCAAAAACATGAATCAGCACAGACTGATGAACGGATGGACAGCTTCTTTATATCCCTACATTTGGTTGGATAATAAATACAACCAAATACTTATCATAAAAATTTACATAAAGTTTAACTTAAAATTTGGTGGGATTAAATTGGCCAAATTATAGATCATGAACAAATATACAAAGACAAAAAAAGGTTTGGTTGCTAAGCTTAATTGAAATTCTTTTACTTTATACGTATTGACACATGTATTGACCAATATATTTGCCTTATACGTTAAAACTTTACCCTTAAAACTAAATCAAATAAATGAAGTCAAATTTAAAGTGACACATGGCAATTACAATGACATGGCATCAATTTAATTTATCATATGGTAAATGAAAACCTGATTTTCAATTAAGATACATCCACATGGTCAATAGCCTAAAGTGGACAAAATAACTGGATTTGACCAACTTTGTATTAAGAGTAATTAGAGCTGGTAAATGAAGAGAAATCACAGAATGGAATTAAGCGATGTACTTTGCAAAACAAATTGTCTTCAAAATCTGTGAAATGTAATGACACATTAGGACAAATAATCATGTTGATTAGACACCCATCTACATCAAATACATGGACAATGCTAATTGGATTATCATGCTTATTGATATCATCAATCATTATCATTCAATACAAAAATCAAAATAAGATGATCATGTCGGCAAAACAAAACTACAAGTATCAAACCTCCAAGAAAATACAATATGCAACCCATTCTAAGCGAGTCTTAGGATTACTACATAACACCATAGAACAGACTCGAATAACTGGAAAAGTGTTCAAGCAGGCTGTCGAACAAAAACAAAATAAAAGTATGGTACCAATATCCAATCATGTACATCAATCTGAGATATTTGGCATACCTAATAAGGTAAACAGGGAGATTTTCTTATACAACAGGATCCCTAAGTGCGGCTCGTCAACATTGTTGACATTATTTAACAAAATGGCGGCATTTTCAAATTATACTTCAGAAACGTCAACTGTCTTTTTGGAACAAGTACTTAGTGATGGAAACCTACAAGAATTTGTAGAGCATTTAGTTCAACTGCAAAGTAAAATTGATGGACGTTTGGTCTATGATAGACACATTCATTACGTGAATTTTGAAAGATTTGGCTACAGGAATCCTATTTATTTCAATATGGTTAGAGATCCATTTGAGCAAGCCATGTCCTGGTATTACTATATGTTTGCCAGGCAAAGCTTCAGTTTCATATCAGCGAAACAGCGAGCAACATTCACGCAAAAACACAAGTGGAAGACATATGGCAAATGCATAGAGGAATACAGAAACACTAGCTTTGGTTTAGAAGAAATGTGTTTCTTGGATGAAGGTTTGTATGCAGGTTGGTTCTGTGGGCATGCTGATGAGTGTAAAGACTTGGATATAGGGTTGCCTATAGCGAAACAACACATTGAGAGATACACACTGATAGGCTTAACAGAGGAATTATCTCTCTCCCTGAAGGCTCTAGAAAAACTGATTCCTTCTTATTTCAGACATATAAGCGAATTCGACAAGAATAATGCTCGATTGAATGCTGCATTAGGATCTAGAAATGTTTATCCCGCAAAGAAGCTAGTTAATTTCATAAAAGTGAAGTTAAAATATTCATATGAAATATACAACTTCATCAAACAAAAATTTCACCTTACTCTAAGAAAATTGAACATTGAAAACATTCCCTGAGCTTTTAAGAACAACTGAAAATACTTATAGAATAAGTAAATAAAAAAGACAACAACTAAAAGGTAAATTTTCTGTTAATACTGAAATAACAAACTCCATGTATGTCCCCATTTCTTTCAAACTGGTCAGTATTGGGATACACTGATGTCCATTGAGAATTCTTTTTCATTCCACTGTTCCACTTTTGCTTTCTTGAAAGGTATGGTTATGGCTGTCAATGTATTCTGAGGCAATCCTGATACTAGTGATTTAATATAAATGCAATTCTTCCAACTGATACCCAAAGCAGAAGCAGTCATGGCAAATGTCTCTAGAAAGCTAGCATACAGAACTAACAAGGGGGGAAATGTTTTACAGAAACGTACACCAGCAATAAATTCTTTTGTATATTAAACATCAATGAAATATGGTTGTAACTAAGCATAACCAATATGGTGCTAGGTTGACCTAATAAAATAAACTGACTACTTAAATTCCAACAATTCTGCACTTCATTAGGGGAGGCATCAAAAGTACGATGTCAGATCGAAAACTAAATGAATCTAGTTAGGGGGAGAGGGTTCAAAGCCATTTCAGTTTGCTATCTGACAAATTTCAACATTTTAAATTGTTTTGCAATTTTGACTCAGAATGCCCTGGAGTGGTTTAAAAATAATGATTTTACCCGATGCTTTCTTCGTCAAGATCATTCCAATGGATTCTATTCTATCAATGTTAAAAGCAGCAAATTACGATAGGAAGTAACAAAAAAAACGAGATCATTTTTAGAAATATTCAAATTCTCAAATGGGAAGTCAGCGATCAACTTTCATGGTATTTAGTTTTTTTGGGGGGGTTTCAAAGTCAAAACTAGATTTATTAAGTTTCCGATCCGACATCAAACTTTTGATGCCTCCCCTTAACACATAATAACTAAAACCAGATTGGTGGTGTACAATAGAAATTTTCTCCAAGCGTGCAACTACAGAACTAATACAACATTTACTTACGGTGATTCGCATGCAAGTAGGAATTCGACATGCTTGTTTTCAAAGTTCTCAAGTAGCACGAGGAGAAACAGGTTCTTACATCCTACAGGCACAGGTGTATTGAGATCATCGTCTACTAGTTCTGTATGCAGGTTGATGCGGGAAGTGTAGTCTATCACACTGTATCGTTCTTCACTAAAAAAGAAGTAACCAATAAAAAATGATATTACAAGTATACTGCTTTATTGCAACAAGATTGGAGGACATGTTAATACACTTGGTTTGAGGTTAACATAAGATAACATGTTTAAATCAAGCTACTGGCATTCGACAGATAAAAGCTGGCTCATCCCAAAAATATTGACCAATGCATATGGTTGACATTAGTGACATGTACATTAAACCATAAAGCTAAATAAATGGATATTTTTGTTGATAGCTCAGCCTATGGTTTATTGATATAACCTGATTCATGTACAACTAGTAGTCAATAAAAAACTGTTGAAGAACAAATCAGAAAAAAACAGATGTTTTTGAATGATGAGAAGTTACCAGTTAACATACGGCATACTTTCCAATATTACAACAGTATCAGTTTTCAGTTTACAACTTTACAAACACACTGCACTCTTTCCTATGTTACAATTGTCCTTACCTCTTCTTTTTAGTGATAACAATGATGTCATTGAAGACAAAGAGAAACAGTTGCTGTTTGCTGGGGCCTTTTTTGCCAAACACAGGGATGCTGGAACTATTGTTTACGATGCGTTGAAGGGGTCCTTGTTTCACGAGGTACCTTGATGTGGAAATCAATGGAATCTTTTTCTGGAATAGAAACATGACATAAAAATCTGCAAAAAATCTGCAAAAAATCAACCTCAGTAGCTACACAATACTAAACTACACCATGTCATAATACAATATAGCATGCAGGCCCGTAGCCAGGGGGGTTCGAGCGAACCCCCCCCCCCCCCGGCCAAAAAATCTTTCAAAATCATGCAGTTTTTCACCATTCTGAGCACTTTTTAAGTGATTTTGGCCATTTCTGGACCAAAAATGTCACAAGTGAACCCCCTGGAATTTTTCAAAAAGTGAACCCCCCCTTGGCAAATCCTGGCTATGGGCCTGGCATGTACAAGATGATGTGTAAATTACATAAATGTACTTATGTAATGTATATACAATATTGACTTATCCAAAATATACAATGCTATTTTTTGATCGACTTAATAAAGTCATACTTGAGAAATTTCTGATTCTTTTTAGAATTGCTATTTACCTTTAATTTGTCAAAGTCTAATTGTTTGTCAAGATGAACCATTTGTTCCACCCTCTCCATGTTCCTTGCACCTTCATTGCACTGTTTCACAACCTACAATAAAATACAATATGATAGTTATTAAACATGTTCCTCCCACCTTCATTGCACTGTTTCACAACCTACAATACAATACAATACAATATGATAGTTATTAAACATGTTCCTGGAACTCACAAACAAAACAGAAATATAAACTATATTAGAAATATAGATTATGTTGGCTAGTTAAAGAATGCATTTAGAAAATCACATGTACTTACTGAATTCAGCGCTTGGAGGGCAGACATGGCAGAGTCATGTTTGTCAGTTTTAGGCTCAAGTCTATGACATATTGCATCAATCAGGAGAGGTAGGCGGGTTATACGTTGCATTGGTAGGATCAGGAATGAATGCAGAGAGAGACCCAAACATGATTTATGTTTTTCTAGTTTGTCGATAATCTCTTTGAACATGAGATTGTCTGAACTGAAACATACATGATAATTAGTATAAGTAGATTATTTAGAGAAGAATATGGAACAAGTAGTGACTTTATAGTGCTATAAATATGTTGAAATACGTTATATTTAAGCAGTGGTATGGCTACTGTGTATAAAAATGAGAAATAACAAGAAACCCAGATTGATGAGAAAGTTCAACGAATGTATGGAAAACAGAGGGACTTTGACCGTCACAGAATTCTTCATTCAAAATGTCAATTTACACATTTTCTCTTCAAATTCACAAAAATCAAGTGTAAGAATGTGTAATATATGGGCTAGATTTGTAAATTTCACAGACTGAACACAAACTATATTAAGATACATAAATGTCAAACTTGGCAAAATACTACAGTTTCAAACCCTTTTTTTCGAGCATTTAAATAAAGAAAAGTTTAGCAACCTCCATTCACAAAACTACTTACGTTATTTTTTTGAGAGTTCTGTCCTGATAGACTTGATTACTGCAGTACTTGATGTAGACATCAAAGGTGTTTTCAGCGAACTTGGTGACAATGTCACAAATGTCAGATATGACTATGTTTTCCCTCCATCTAGCCTCTAAGGCAGCAAGGAACCTGGAGATAAATAACAAGTAACAATACCTTCCTTGCACTCCTATCTACATGAGAGATTCGATTTTTATAAGGAATGTTCTTAATGCGAGGCAAATCATGGTCTGAGTATCAAAATGCTATTTAATGTTATTCTGTCAGTGTAGTCTATTGTAATGATTCAGACTTGCGACAGATTGCTTTTAATGGACCAATTCACATTTAAACAAGGCATTAACATGCAAAATGTCACTCTGCCATTTGTTACAGACACAGAATGCCAACTGCCAAACACCAGCCACAAAAATAGTTGGAGACTATGACAATATGTCACAACATGTGGTGGTGACATGAAAATGGCAGAAAGACAATATGAAATAACAATTTACATAAAATGCAAACTGCATTATGTCTAATTTTACTGAATACAACTCCTACCTCTCACTGACTTCTCTAACTGCCAAAACATTGGAAAATAGGAAATGTTTGTCTCTTTTCTCAAGACAGGAGCGGCAGCCAGGTCTATCTGTCAGCTCACTTGCCAGGAAGAAGTGATTCACCATTAGGTTGAGACTTTTAACATAGGAGGCCTCTGAAGTGATCACTTCAAACATTGCCTGGAATAACATGAACATGCAGGGTGAGTAAAAAGACATTTTATGGCCTATTTAATATCTTTCTTAAAATTGATCATACTGTACATGTATTTTCTTTGAATTTTAGACATTGTCCCGCCCCAACTATTTAAAAAGAGCGATACATATATATCTGTGTTGTACCTCTTGTATTTTCTTCTGACTAGGTGCCATTGAGTCCAGAACTCCACTCTGTATAACCTCAGGCAACTCACACCACAGTGTACGCATTCCTTTAAATGTTGGGGACGTAGGTGATACAGCAGAAGTGGCAGTTTCTAAGCTATAATCAGTGGTCCCTGGTTCATCAGGCTCCTCTTTGAAAGACTGCGAGGGCTTGAATGATGCGGCATCATCATATATTTCACCATCTTTGATGTCATAAGTGTCATATATATTCTCTTCCTCATCCTCATCTATAACACATTATAACAAACACTATAGAATAGGTGTTTTGTCTTTGTATTCAGAAGCATATGTAGTGGTCTTTTGGACTCAGTGAATTTGACTAAGAACCATATGATCGTTTCAGCATGTATAGGAAAATGATACTTGTTCAATGCTTAAGGTGCACCTGGTATTATATGCCAGTATATGAAATAGTAATTCAGAAACCATTTTCCAAATAGTAATTCAGAAACCCATTATCCAAAATTATATTAAATGAGTTTGTTCTATCTGGGGCAAAACAAATATTTCATTTCTACAAGATTCTGCATCCATTCAAAAGATATTTTCCAACCCGATTAAAGCAGTTACATATATCTAGTTAAGGTTTTGATTAGTATTATTTTAAGGGATAAAATATAAAATGAAAAAATAGGTAAAGTTCCCATTTTGAGTACTACCATTAAATTGGTCAAATAATCTTGGATACAAGGTTTATCATTAATGAAATAGATTATGTTCCAGTTGGCCCATATTCCTTACCTATATCCGCTTGTAGCTTCTGCTCTATCGACTGCCTATGGTTAAAGTCACTGTGCCACACCTGGTAGAGCGGTTCATCTATAAACCTTGAGCTAAACCTATTGGATCTGAGCATCTGCATTTCATCATCCTAGAACATGACAGTTCAATGGTCAAGAGAATTATATCATATGTTTTAATCAACTATATCTTTTTGTTAAAAATATGACAAATGAAGAATGATAGTGTTTTTTCCATTTGTTTATATATGAACAGTTATGAATAATTGTAACATATTTGTATTTGTATTGTACACTAGTATATGGTACATTTACTTCAAAGTTCAACACAAATGTTAAATTGATTAACCTTGTTTAATTTTCATTGTATGATATAAAATATTATAATATATGAACTTGAAATAAAAATGAATAATAATAAAAAAAAATCATATTGTTTTGTCTAAAAACACATACATTTTTCAATTAAATTTTATCATTTGGTATGATAAAATGTTCATTGTTATCAGAATACAATGATCAAAACTTGACCTTTTTTGATTAGGCCATAAAAAGTAGATTCTCTGTTTTGCATCCCCTTGCTTGCATGATTTTGAGTAAATCAGGAAAAACAAACACATCCAAATAGCAATCACAAGGGACTGGAAGTACCATCACATTTCGTTCAATCAGAACCAGACAAAATGGCAGATAATTTGATGTGTGTCAAAATTGACAGTGTTATTGATTACTCAGGCATACATTGTGTATTTTCTTATTTTTACCCTTGAATAATAGGTATGTTTAAATAAATTGTATAATAATATGTGTTTGTAATCACTGCAAATTGGTATGTCATCCCTTTTTATGCCCATAAAATGTATACATTTCTCAGCAAACAAGTTTGTGTTTCTTGAGTTTGCAAAAAAGAATCTATTTCTTATGGCCTTATTAGGTAATAAACTGACCATTTCCTCATAGCTATCACTGCTAAGCGCACTCTCCGGTCTATTGCCCCACATATCAGAAAAGTTGAAAGGCTCAAGAGTAGATTTTCCACTTCCAGTGTCTGATTTCTCTCCATCAGCCACTAGGCTTAAATAGGCTGGTGTACTGGAATGAAATATTTCAAATAACGTCTGTCAAATTAGAAGAACTCAAGGAATAAATTACTGTAATACGCCAATTCTGATTGAACATCTTGATCTCCCTTCAGATTTCTATAATAATCTACTGAGATCAATGATGGTGACATAAAAATTGGAACAAATTACAAAAGCACAAATCTCCAGGTAAATACTCACAAATAAAACAATATTCTCAGGAAATCAAAAATCTTCATTTGAACTGTGACAAAAAGATGACAGAGGATAAAACTTTTAAAACAATCAAAACAAATTTTCTCAGCAGCCAGTATTCGATATATATTTTACACCACATTACTAGTCAATGTACTATTAAATCTTGGCCATGTTAACAGCAGCAATTATTTTCAGATATGACCTTAAGAGCCCTTCAAATAGGGGTGTGGATTTTATAACCCTCTTAAAACCTGTTAAGGGACTTTAGAAGAGTTTCCTTAGAGTTTCTACCCTCACCGTTCTCTTTTTCCAACTCAATATCCCTCCGACCCGAAAAGAATTGCTGCTGTTAAGATGCCCCGGGAGGACACATTGACTAGTGATTTGGTGTAAAATTAAACTTAATTTTGACCAAACACTAAATTTTGAAATGCCTGTAATTTTTTCACATTTGAGAGTTGAACCATGATATTTGGCGAATCAATGTAACTTTGGATAAGCTTTAAAGTAATATATGACACATACTATGACGACACTGGTATATGTCTGCCTAGGGGGGCCCCATACTTTCGGGACACCCTGTAGATTGTGTTACGAGTACTTACAGAGTATTTGTACCAGACATGGTGTTTTGTTTGGAGTCCATGGGTAGGTAGCTAGAACTGACTCTGTCCCCAACACTTCCTGGTGCTTTAGGCCCTGGATTATCTGGCTCAATGTAGCCATCCTCTAGAGGAAAATTGGTACATGTAAGAAACATATGCTTAATAACAGGCATGTACAAGTAATTAATTAACTCTGGATCATTTTATTGGATTTACACCAGTTTTTTACTAACATACACTCCCAACCATTTTATCTGATAGCATGTAAAGGCCTGTCCATGTTTGAACCTTAATTTTGTACCTTAATTTCAATAGTTCAGAAATTCATGGCAAAGATGATTTCTTTCAAATCACCAATCATGAACAAGCCTTGATAAGTGATCTTTGCCAAACTTATGCAGGGGAGTGTAGATTTTCAATATGTATATTTATCCTCCTCTGACTCCAGAAAATGTGCCTATTAATGAGACATCTCATTAAAGTAAAAGATTTCATACTCAGGGTTATTTTACTTATTTTCAAATAAAAGGAGGAGCCATATTTCTTTAGCAGGATTTGTGATTCTCTCCTCTGCTTTTTGTCTTTTGACTACCAGTAAATTACCTGTAAAAATTGTTTGATATTTAACAGAATAAGTTTTGTTCTTACCTCGAGTGATAGAGGCAGCAGAGGGAGGGGGTATAACAACATCCAAACCAGTGTCTAAAATATATAATACAAAGCATGTTAATACATATTATAAATAAAAAAAGACTAAATAGGATCACACAAAAATAGATTGTTTCATGTAATTCAGGAGAAGAAAAAAAGGTTGGGTCAAATATCAATATCTGTCAAATAATGTAATTAACAAATATTTATTTTTTCTATTTTTATTCCTATTCTATCTGGTACTTGAATATCGAAAGAATGAATTCTGCCAAATAAGAAAATGGCAATTAATTCTTCCAAATAATTCAATCATTTAACAGACATTAAACCAACCTTTTTTATTAAGATTAACCGTCTTTAGACAAATGGTGATGATCATGATCACTTGTTAAGGTGAAGAAGAAATAGAAACATGTACTAGAAAACCATATCATTTTAAAGATATAAGAAATATTAGTCTGTGTCAATATTAGTATGAAAACTACTATAAAATCTACAGTAATCAAAATGACATGAAATGACAACAAATCTAACAAGCAAATTACAAGCAACAACACATTTCATGAGCAACTTACAGTTAAGCGGGGCCATTGAACCAGACGCACCAGGTCTTGGTAAAGGCAAAGGAGGCCTAAATTCTATGTCCCTTGCCATACCAGAGGGAATCACATCATAGCCCCATGAGACCCCTTCAGACAAACAAAACACTGAGGCAACATAATCACTAGTACAAGCGGACTGGTAGAAAGCCAAATCAAGAAAAGCAAGGGAACATTTACTTTACAGTGAGCAAATACTACCTTTATTGTAAAAGCTGTTTCAGACAAACAATATCTCTATTGTAAAAGCTGGGTTGTGCTAGCCAAAAATGAGGGGAGGCAAGAGACAATATACTCTTGAGTTAGCAGACACAATCTTATTGTAAAAGCTGGGTTGTACTAGCCAAAATGAGGGGAGGCAAGAGACAATATACTCTAGAGTTAGCAGACACAATCTTATTGTAAAAGCTGGGTTGTACTAGCCAAAAATGAGGGGAGCCAAGAGACAATATACTCTAGAGTTAGCAGACACAATCTTATTGTAAAAGCTGGGTTGTACTAGCAAAAAAATGAGGGGAAGCAAGGGACAATTAAATACTCTAGAGTTAGCAGACAAAATCTTTACTGAAAAAGCTGGGTTGTACGAGCAAAATGAGGGGAAGCAAGGGACAATTTACTCTAGAGTTGGCAGACAAAATCTTTATTGTAAAAGCTGATTTGTACGAGCAAAATGAACTAAAGCAAGAGACAATACACCTTTCTTTGAAAACTGCATACATGAAAGCACGATTTAAAAAAACACATACTGGTATGTTATGAAGTCAATTGTTGAAGGCATAAGCTTTCTGTTACAAATAAGATGGCCTTGAGATGACAAGTGCTTTTCAGATTTCAACTGTTAGATTATTTTTACAAATGAATGATTCAAAGAAAAAAAAACAGTGTGTAGGGTATCGAGACAGGTAATATTGTATGTGGAATATAGTACTATAGACATTACACTCATACTCATACTTGTATGCATATACATGTATATTTGATACTTTGTGAATGATAAACCAATGTTTAATTTTCAATTTATTTGTTCAAAAGAAGTGCACATAACACAATTTAATACAAATGACCTTAGACAGAAGGTTTTGCCAACATATTCAAATGTATATACAATTTCATATTTCTACAACTAAACTGAAATCAAGTTCATAGGAATTCTTAAGTGATAAATTCAAATGAGATGTAAATGTAAGGCCGGGGACAAGCAGAACAAAAATGATAATTATATTATAATTGGCAAAACTAGTACTGTATAAGTACAGGTTTAATAGGAATAAGCTGCATTACAATGAAATTTCCGTAAAAATGCCAATTAATTATAATCAACACACAGCGCAGGGTCCATACAGTACATAAATTATTTCACAATGCACGACACAACAAATCATAATGCAGCATGATGCTCTGAAATATCAAATCCACTGTACAATTGATACCTATTCTTGATGTACATGATCGGGATTTTGGTTTTGGAGGTATGGGTGGCTTAACTTTAGGGGTGCCCTCTATGCAAGATTGGCCTAAATAAGGAGGGAGAATACTTATTTACAGTATATACAAACATAGAGTATCACTGTTAACAATATTTGCATCTCATATAATGAATATAAAACACCATTAAGATTTTCACTATTCAATTTCTGAAATTCTGAAATCTTACGATTTGAGACATGTCAATGACAGCATTTCAAAACATTATATATAACTTGAACAGTATTCTCCATTTCAAATAATAACTAAAAAGTAGTTCTGAAAACATACCTCTCCTGGGTAAGGGTGGGGGTGGTCTCTCCTGTCCATCTGTCATATTGAGACCTTCCATAGACTTGGAAAGCTTTCTCTGCTCCTTAGATTTCTCCAATCCTGGACCAATATGTCCTTGTCTTATAGGGTTACTGAAAAGTATAGTATGTTCAGCTTCACTGGGTAAATTGCATTCAGAGAGAGAGTACTTTGATATTACATGTAGTTATTATACTTCAAGTATGTAAAGATATGTTTGGCAATGTTCTTGTTTGGGGACACATGTAAATTGAAACTTTAATTAAATTACATTTCAATTAATGTATTATTGTATTCATCACATGTTCAATTATGGTTTTAATTCGTTCAAAATATCCACAGTAACTGTAGTTCATTCTATGATGCCAATAATCTTCCAAATCAGGGTCAAGTAGGAATTCTCATTTCTAGATTTAATTGACAGCTAGCTCTATTTAAAACATTCCATATTTGGAGTGACATAATATTTCAAATACAAAGCTTCAAGGTCAGGCTAAACTGCATAATACTTTATTTTTAAGTCTCGTATCAAGGTGTTGGGTTATGGCATTTGTGATATTGAGAATACAATGGTATATAATTTACTGTATTACTCATGGTTTGTTCATTCCTTCCTTTCTTTCGGTCTTGCTTTAAGGAAGGAGCAATCCACTTGTGATGTATTTTACAAACAAAGCATTGAGCTCATTGCTAAAATCCTTAATTGTAAATCAGAATAAAATAAATTATAAAATATGATGTATGCTATCTACCTTCCATCAGTAATGTTCACTTCTGATATCGCATTTTGTTTCTTCTTTTCCTTTATGGAAATATCAGCTCCACTCGTGTTAACATCCATTGCACCAATGGGAACCTTCTCACCTTCACTGATGGCTTGCTTTCTAGGGGGCCTTCTTGGAGGAGGCGTAGACATGGGGGAGTGAGCCTTTCTTGGTGGTAGTTTAGGAGAATCAGATGGTGATTTTGTTTTTGGTATAGAAAGTGCACTTTCTGTAGCAGCATGATGAAGTATTGACCGACTAGGTTTACCAGGGTGTGATGTGCCCAGTTTATTCAAATTTGAGTCAGATTTTGAGCTGGACAATGTTGATTTAATTGCTTTTTTAATTTTGGCTTTTATTTTTGCAGAGGTGGGTATAGGTGGGAGAGATTTCTTGAATATGGATGGTTTCTCAACAGTTGTCTGAACTTCATCGGGAATTTCTTCATAGCCATCGTCTTCATCTGTTTCCCAATGATCTTCTTGTTCATCCTTGCGCTGTTAAATAATATTTACATTTTAAAATAACTATTTTAACTTCTGTACTTTCAAACTAGGTCAAACAAGTTTTTTTGTTTGTGATTAAAGCCTAAGTCACATTTGCTCTACAGCGGCTGTAGCTTCACAAAATCGATAAAGAAAATCTACATCATACTGCTTATCCCTATATTCTATGCTGTATATTGGAAACCTACCCAAATTCAGATATTATCATGAATAAGTTTAACAATGAAAATGTAGTTTACAGATCACTTCAAATGACTTGTCCCAAAGATTCACATTATTTGGCTAGAGATTTAAATTGGTGTGGGTATTATTTTGAAAGCAGTTTCAAGGCAATTCCCGGATAGATGTAGGGTTGACTCAACAATTAACAAATATGAAGGCCACTTACCAGGAAAGTGACATCCTCATAGTCAATACTGTCAAAATCACTCTGTGGCCTATTTGCGAGCTCAGGATTAGAGCGGAACCTAGCCTTTGGTGTACCTGCACGCCTTGATGAGGAGGCCTTGTCACTGTGCCTCTGCTTGGAGGATTTCCTCCTAAAATTGAAATGTAGAACATTTAGATTATCATTAAGGAAGATATATTTTCAAAATCTTGTAACATGGGCTCTAGGGAGAATCTACCCAACATAGAAATGACATTTTTAAAGAAAATTATCATCATAATGCAAAAATGTTTAAAAAAAATAAAAAATTATAATTTTAAAGTTGAAAAACAATTTTTGAAACTATATTAGAGATTAAAGATGACAATCAAGATTCTTTCAACTTGCATCTAATGCATTAACTAGCCCAATGGGAGGGGAAAACAGATGAAGTTTAAAAGCATATGTGAGGATTGTGGGGTATATCTTGTGTTCGCTTTGTCTTCACTGCATTCAGACGGACTAGAGCAGAGTAAATGAAGATGAGTGGGGCATTGATTGTAATGATTGAAATATTGTGTTAAATATATGACACACTTCTTTTCTGTTGGCAGAATACAGTCTTCTTGTGTTTTATTGATTTTTAAAATTAGGACTTTGGTCTTATTTGTTTACCTAATTTTATCAGTAAATATATTTATCCTTGGTATGTACACAAAAGAATGAAGTTTATAAATAGAAAGGGTGGCTAGCAGTGATAAAGATAACCTATCTTACTTACAAACAATATTAACATGAAGATGGTTATACTATTGATATTTCCTGCAATATTGCATACCTTTACACTAAGTAATACATGTATTACTAATTCATAGAAATAAAATAAACAAATTGTAAATAATCAGGGATTTCAAGACCTGGTTTAGTATAGGTTAGAATAATGTATGTTTTGTACTATTAACCAACTGCTGAATTGATGAATTAATATCAATATAAAATAAAAAATATCAATTTTATAAAAGGTCAAAAAGGACACTGTATTGCATCTGGTATTCTTATTTGGTATTCTCAAGTAACAAGCCCTCTAGCTGTTGTTGCTAATCAGTTTTAATTAAACTGCATATCTAACATTGGTAAGTCAGACATCACATCATGCAAAGTCATACCTTCGGTCTAGTACACACAAGATTAATAGTCTGTCTCGGCAACTCTTTTTGATCATATTAAAGCGGAACAAAATTATGGTTTAATTATGAAGAATTCAACAGAGCATTAGAAGTCTAGAAATTAAGCGCAATCTTCCGCATATAAAAATACTTGGTTAACAGTTCATTTCTTTAGGCATGATTTATTCATCTCATGTACAGTGATATTTCACATGGAAGTATTTTAAATGCTCGAGCTTGGCCAAATGTAATATTTCATAAATTAAGTAAATACAAATATTAAAAGAGACAGTTTGTAAATATTGATCTAATGAGAACATCAGGTCATTGTGACATTAACCCCTTGAATACCAAGTGTTCTGTCCCAGCTACTATGTACATGTACAGGGTGAGCCAAAAAAAGGTAACCCAAACAAATCTTAATAACTCAGTCATCCGTTGTGCGTTTTATGCAATGTCACAGTTGCCAAATATTGTGTTTTTTTAGTAATATCATAACAAGGCATTAACATGCAAAATGTCACAAACTGCAATTTGTTACAAATGAACAATACCATCACAAAAATGGAGACCATAACAATATGTCACTTTTTTGGTGTTGACATAAAATGGGCATGGAACGTTATATATTATAAGATAGAAATATGGCAAAAGCACGTAAAAAATGAAAAACTGTCTGGTATTGAAGAAGTTAAAGACACAGTGCCAAATGCCTGACAAAAAATGAATAGTGCCATGGGTACTGAGCTCACATGTTGAACCCTCATTTTTTGATAATGTGTCTGGACTAGATTATTGGTTACCTATACTTAATTACTTGTATTATATACTATACTAAACTACTTGTAATATACTATTTCAAGCAAATCATGGCTAAAAAGTGATTTTTGAAAGTAAAAGTAACATGATTGCGTTGACTGCAAGAAGGGTCCATGTTCAAGTTAATGTTGTATGATTTAGGTATCCAACAACAAAGTAATCAATGCTAAGAAGGTCTTGATTGGACGAAGACTACCTTGGCTATGTGTGTGGATAGGGTTATTGCAGTTAAGGGCTTGTATAGATGATTGTTTCTGAACAACACATACTTGAGTTTTTGCAAGGGTCTAGGAGGAGCTTGAGGGGATGATTCCCCATCAGTCCAGCCTTCATCTTCAGATTGGTCCACCTTCTCACTTGCTTGTGCTGGGACGAGGACATCCTCATATTCCTCATCATCTGTAACATAATATACTCAGTCTGACAGAGTGAAAGCAGTTCACATGGAATATTGAGCAAGACAAACACTTTTATGGGATCAAACCCGCTCAGTTCTGTCTAATGAGTATGAACACACCTAACTTTAGATCCTGTTCAATGTGAGGAAGTTGAAAATGAAAGTTAAAAATTCAAAACCAAAATTATATTTACCTTCACTATCTTCAGCAACAACATCATCCATTTTATTCCTATCATCAGCAGAGTGTTCCTTGCTGACAGCCTTCTTTACTCTTGGCACAATCATAGGTCGCTTAGTTTTAAAACTGGCCTTCTTTTTCAACCCTACTTTTTCCCCTAATGGGCCACCCTTTATATCAGATATTTCTAATACATTTTTAATATCAGACAGTTTGAATCCAACTCGGGCAAGGGTAGACGTGTTTTGATCCCATCCTTTTGATTTGTCTGTGCATGGTTCCACAGGACCAGAATACCTGGGTTTAGCTATGGGTTTAGGTTGATTATCAATTTGTGACATGGTTGTTTCTGGACCAGATTTATGTGTTGGACTAGAATGTGTATGTTTATCATGTAACTGCGGCTGCTGCTTAGCATTCCCAGATGGTCTTAACTTTACTCCAAATGCCTTTTCTCCATTATTTGGCGGTACTGTACTGTCAATAGAGGGTTTCTGAGCAATACTTGGTTTAGACTGAGAATTTATAGAGCTAGTTGTCTTTGGGAGATCACCAACAGAAGAAGAGGACTGAGATTTAGGAGTTTGGTTCTTTAAGTTACGTTTGGCAGGAGTAGGAGATTTTTTACAATCAACAATGCTCTCCTTAGGTTTCATCCAAGAAGGCTTCTGAGTTTCTGTCTTTGTAGATGTTTCAACTGAAATATTATGTTTTCCATCTGTAATCTTTGAGTTCACATTCTGTTGAATAGTTGGTTTATTTGGAGCTACTGGCTTATCTGCAGCAAGAGAGGGCTTTGATTTGACCCAAGGTGCCTTGTTATTTTGATTTGTTTCTTGACTAGGGACGACCATACCCTCATTATTAGGTTTTGCCCTTGACTCACTTTTCTCTTCATTGTTTTTCAATATATTCTTTTTCCAAGGTGGGTCAGCTACTGGCTTACTGGCTGGAATAAGACTGGGACTTGATTGTCTTTTAAAAATTTTATCTTCATTGTTTTTTAATAAATTCTTTTTCCAAGGTGGGTCAGGCACTGGTTTCTCACAGTCAGTTTTTGAGGCAGAATTAGCTGATATAAGATTGGAACTTGATGAACTTTTTAAATTTTTCATCCAAGAAGGTTTCTCAGATGTTTCATCTTTTGTAACAACAGGTGGCTTGTTACCAATAGAAGGTTTAACTCCCAAAGCAGGTCTTGTTCCAAAATTGACTTTAGAGCTACTCGCTGAACTTACATTTTCAGTATTTGAGTTTGTTTTTATCCATGATGCGTTAACCTTCCCTGAACTTGTATTTAAGGATTGTTGCCCTGTACTTGCGCTTAAGGATTGTTTCCCTGAACTTGTGCTTGAAGAAGGTTTGGATGGTTGGGGAGCTCCAAACTTGTTCTGTAAAGCAGTAATTGATGATTTTGAGGTATTATTGTTAGTTCCTGAGTTCTGTTTCGCTGCATCTGCTTGTAGAAATTTATTCTTCCACATGGACGGTGGGACAACTTTATCATCTGCCATTATATTGGACTTTTACTTCCTCCTTGAGGTTAGGTTAATCCTAGTGATATATCATACTTCCAAGGTCTGTGGTCGTGATCACATCTTTTCACCTCCTGGAATGACATCAGAGAAGTAAAAATAATTTCAAATACAAAAAAAGAAAGATTAAATGTCTTAATTTACATGAAGCCATTCATAATAAAAAGGTAGGCGCTGTTGACTCATGCCTTATTCTAATGGTGTTCCTTGTTAAAACTAAATCGTAAATACCACTATCAATGATGGTTCACAGTTCTAATTGTTTCATCAAGTACTACTTTTAAATTCAATACTGCTTGAGTTATATACTGATCGCCTTAGGAATGAGTAAATTTAATTTGGCATTAGGTCAAATAATTTGCAATTCATAATGCAACGTTTTGCTTTGCCAAAAAGTTAAGACATTAACTTTCATGTTGAAACAGATGAATGAACATACATATGACTTATAGACTGGGTCACATTGACAAAAACAAACATCATGTCCGGGTGTGGGATTAAAAAAGGATCATGATATACTTACAGGATGAATGAAATAAAATTCACGACTTGCCAGTCAACATTAAATTCATAAAACCATGATGAAAATATTTGAATAGAAATGAATGTTAGCTTTTTGAATTAAGCACATTGTATTGGGTTATTTGAATAACAAATACCAAAGGCTTTTTATTTACCATTTAAAGGCTGAGTTCACTGTCTGTTATTACTCTTTTAGAAATACTCTTTTTGAAGTACCCAATTGGGCAATATGGTGTCAATCTATTTAATCATGATATTTCACCCACACTTTCACTTTTGAAAGAATCTGCATTCTTAAAAATTCAGTTTGTATAACATTTTAAATAGTTTATCTTTTTTTCGTGACCTTGTTCCTGTTTATTTGTGAGTCAGCCAATTTATTGAACCGAAACAATATGGACACCACATATGCACAGTCGCTCGACTGTACTGTGTTCACACAAATCAAGAAATACAGCAGGCCAAATATGCAGTTTTATTGCAAGTAGCTAAACATAAACTGTATGTCTAAAATATATATTATGCACTGATTTCTTTTGGTTTACAATATTTGTCTTCTTACTATAAAGCACTGTGGTCTGTCTGTTATTCTGTGTCTGTCCAGACATTTCCTCCTAGACCGTTGACCTTGGGCTCTCATACTTGGTCAACATACTTAGTAGGTTGGTGGGCCTTCTATGAAGCCAGGTCAGAGGTCAAGGTCATGCCAAGGTAAAACGTCAATATCTAGGTATTTGGCTTTAAAACCCTTGGTCTATGTTGTGACCCTTGACAACCCATGATTGGGCGACCTGAGGTCAAGATCAACTTTATGGATCAAGTTCATTCCAAGGTCAAAGGTAAATATTTTGGTATTTGGCATTTTGATGCATATGGGGGCTGTTGTGACTTTTGGCGGCCCATAATCAGGTAACCTTAGGTCAAGGTCATTCCTAGGTCAAAGGTCAATAATTAGGTATTTGGTGTTTTAAAACCCCGGGGGCTGCTGTGACCCTTGGCGACCCATGATTAGGTGACTTGTGGTCAAGGTAAACATTATATTGGTCAAGGTCAAAGTTTTTTTTTTACATACTTCACATTTATTTCTAAAAATCAATCGGTTACATTTTTACAAATTGCTATTGTTGACAGGACATTATCGGCAATTGAAACAATTTTGATAAATAAAAAAATTGATATTTAGAAATACATAAAATGTTCAGAGAAGCTTTTTTTCTTTTTTGTTGTTGTTTGGTTTGCTTGTTCCCCAGTACCAAGTGATGGTATCAAAATCAAATGTTAAAAATTACCCTGTCTCAGACTTTGTATAGCTTGAAAAGTATAGTGAGCAGTGATTTCAATCAGGTCAAGGTCAAAGGTCAATATCTAAGCCTAAAGTATTTGGTGCTGGAAGGCAATGGAAGGCTACTGTGACCCTTGGCGACTCATGGTTAGGTGACGTGAAAACGCTCAATAAAATATTATCCCGGGACATCACATCTTCAATGCAACTCTAGTGTTATTGGTTCAGTTACTTACTTGCATAAAATGGGCTAACGTAAATTGAGATGGGTACATGAATGGGGAGGTCACCCAGGACAGGTCACTAGAGTCCATTTCACTGCTTCAGTTCGTCAGTAGAACGGCAAAAATAAGAAATTGGGAGACCATTGTGCAATAATATATGGAAAAGTATATTCATAATGTACATGAATGACATTTGTATATTTCAGATTTTTTAGTTTTTTGTGCAATAAGCCTGTGTCGTCTTGTAATTTGAAGAATTTCAGCCATGTTAATCTTATTGAAAATAACATGGCAGAGAAACATCCAAATATAAGAGGCCACACACTTTATAAGCCAAACTAGAAGCAATCCAAGATATACAAATGTCATTCATGTACATTATGAATATACTTTTCCATATATTATTGCACAATGGTCTCCCAATTTCTTATTTTTGCCGTTCTACTGACGAACTGAAGCAGTGAAATGGACTCTAGTCACAAAAAGAGGATGTGATTTCCTAAGGTTTAATTTTGGAATTTCTTGGTGCCTCTACCAACAAAATTTTAAATGTATTTGGTCCCTGTTCTCTCATTCCCTGGTACCCATCATCTCGGTTTGAGCGCCATCATTTCATTTTCTGTTACCCATCAACTCAGTTTTTCGTACCCACCAAGTCAGTTTTTCATAACCGGCAACTCAATTATCAAATCAAATATTACAGTCAGTCAGTTTATTAGCCAATCAAATCACGGCAATTTGCACATTGACCAATCACAACCGTCGGTAATTTCTGGAAATTTTGAGTTGATGGCCCGAATCGAGTTGATGGCTCAATAGTATCACCCTATGTGAAGAGACTCAATCAATGAGCAGAATCTTTCCACAAATCCCATAGTCAATTGCAATTTAGTTATTCTTCTTCCTAACTTATAAACTTATCAATATGATCTGATTTGGGCTTGCCTTGCCCAAATCATTCATTTCAAAATAAAATCATAAAAATGACAAAAAGTTATGAAAATAAATTTTAGAACGAGAATCTACTCACCTTTTTAGTTCAAATGGCTCGCAATTTGACATCAATAATTAGTCCGTCATACTGTACTTCATGATAATGATACATAATGTCAGGATCACCACGAAAACACTCAAAGTTGACGTAAATTGACGTACTTCCGAGTTCTCGTATATTTTAAGAAGTGACAACACACGATAGGTGGCAGGTCAGAACTTTGAGTACCTTTGTAACACTGAGTTTGATTGGTCAAAATATTCAATGTGCTTACAAGTACACCAATCAGTGCTGACGTTCTGAAAGCTTCGGCTGAACTTCAAAATATTTCACACGCTGAAGACCTTTTTAACATTTTTTACAAAGTTGAAGTCTAAGCTTTACTTTATCGAACATATATCAGTTCCAACAGAGAGCAAAGGTACACTTCTTCAATTGTTAAACTATCAGGTATCTCTGAACAGACCTATTCACTGGAAAACAAGAATAGTAAAGCCGGTGAAAAGTTTGGAAAATCAAAATCAAAAATTTCCCACCTTGAAGTTGAACATCATGACTTTGGCAGACTCATCAGATGTCCCAGTAGAGCCTATCAAATCTGTAAATGATAAGAGGAAATACAGGTATGTCTGGGTTATCTGCTGTTGGATACATGCAACCATGATTGATTGTAAAACACTTTAGACTCTAGACTAGAGTCTAGAGCTCTATAAACTGGAAATCTTTCTGGAAAGACAGAAGCCACGAAGCAGTGCATTTTTGTAACCCGTCAACTCAGTTTAATAATGTCATTATGCATACATGTATATCACCATCATCGAAGTTCTAATTAGCTCCTAGAAGTCCATGGTTTTAGCGAACCTTAGTCCAACAACATTAGACCTAGCCCGGGCCTCGTTTCTTATCTGACATGTGTTATGGCCCGGCTAGGTCTAACCTCCATGACCATTTTGCCTTTGATGCGTTAATTTAATCGTTCAGCAGGTTTAGACAAGCGGAACTAATTGAACCCTGAAAACATGGCAATATTACACAAAGAATGTGATTCAAGCATGCATACATACCTTATAAACACATACACCCCGTCCCGTATCCCCCTTAGACCCTATTGATGCATAATTACGAAAATATTGGAGACAGGTTTGGAATATGACGAAAATGTCGGTCAGTTTCGGTAACATCGAAATTGCAAATCGTTTCAGGAATTAACCGTCATCACGGCACTGCATTAACGAACAGTTGGTTTGCAATTAATAACTATTTTGCGTGTATATACGTGCTATATAAATTAATCAAAGATACCTGTTATCCTCAAAATTGATCTTTTTATCCCGAGTAATCGCGATAATAATTATCAATCTATTTGACAACAATTTCGTTTCGCTGGTAGTTTAATTTTACGATCCGGGACACTCAGACGAACAGACACAATGACGGACATGCGGAAATGTCACTTTATATTATTGTCAAGTATCAGTTGCACGTTATCGCGGAAAAATGGTTTCGATGGATTCAGAACTTGCATCAAAGGAAAGAATAGTAAGGAGGTTAAACTCAATAATGGCCCCAAGAAAATTCCTAATAATAAAGAACGCCGTTATTGAGTTTAACGACGTTGAACTAAGCGAACCTCTGCCTTTCAAGACTTTAAATGATTTGATATCTGTCTTGAGGTAGAGAGTTCAGTTTCTTAGCAATTTGAATATAGAAACAAAGCCAGATTTGTTAAGAGCATTTATGAGTGCGAATAACTTGATAATAATAGACCAGCAGGTAGCAGAGGTAGACTAGATGTTTGGTGGCACTATATAACCTACAAAATCTAAAGAAATAATTTGATCTCCCATTACATACATGCATATCTGGAAATCTCTTGTTTTCCTGTGCTGAATATGTTCAGGGTTCACTCTGATTCAAAAATTTCATTTATTTTCTAATTTCAGAAGCATCAAATTGACCAATGGCCTCACAGCTTTGTTGATAACTGACCAAGACTCTGATGATGTTGAAGATGAGAAAGAAGAGACAGTAAGTGATGATGGAGAGGAGGAGAGTGAAGATGGAGAGAGTGGGGATGATGCAGATGGTGAGGATTCTGACATGTCTGTTGATGAGGGAGATGATGAAAATGAAGGCTCAAAGAAACCTGCTAAAGATTCCCCATCAGAGAAGCTTGTAAGTTTATAAAAGATGTATTTAAAGATAAGATAAAGTATAAATATACTTCAGATTTATTTGAATGCAAATCAACATGTGAACATTTTTCTTGGTATAAATAAATCTCTGATTGACTCATAAATTAAGAAATACCTTTGAATGTGAACACCTGCTACAGGGTTCTCACCAGGAAATTTTCAGAACCTGGATTTTTAGCGGTATTGTGACTTCTTTTTTTGCGGTATCGCGACTACATCTCCCCCATGTGAGATCAGACTCAGAGATATCCTATTAGTATACTTTTCAAAAAACTTTTTAAGATTATCTTGCTACATTAATCCCAATATTTATTTGTAAAATGTTTTTGACTTCCTATTACTTGTTTGTATCCAGTTTTATGTATTTTCTCAAGAGTTTTACCGCAAATAATGTGACAAAAATGTAAAATTAGACTCTGGAAAAAACACTTTAGACTCCGGAAAATCTATTAGACTCTGGAGCAGAAGGGTTTAAGACATATAAGACTCCGGAGAATCTCTGGAGTCTAAAAGCCTAGTGAGAACCCTGTGCTATTCTGAACACTTTTGATCAGTCCCAGTAGTGTTCAGATTGGAAAGGTTTTACTGTACATGTATTTATAGTTAGTAGATTTTACTGTACATGTATTTATAGTTAGTAGATTTTACTGTACATGTATTTATAGTTAGTAGATTTTACTGTACATGTATTTATAGTGAGTCATTTTATCTTAACATTTCAGTCTGCAGCTGCACTGTGTATTGGGCAGGGCAGCTTTAGTGAACCAGATGACATCCCTGGTCTAGCTCATTTCTTGGAACACAGTAAGTCATTATTCAATTCAATTCAATTCAATACAATGTTTTGAAATATTAGAATATCTTTGTGGAACTGCAAGATACAAAATGGGCATAAGCTGCAGCTTGACAACAATTTAACAAGTTCCACTATTCATTCTAATATTGTTTATTAGCTGTAAGAAAAACCCATGGACTACAGAAAGCCTTTAGCAGTTCAGATGCCCTGATGATAACAGTTACCATATGATATATTCAAATAATAAAGGCACATACACTAGTATTTTTTCATTTCTGATTTATTTGATTTGTTTCATTATTTAATGTGCTAAAGATAATATTCACATTCATATTATATATTTTATTCCAGTGGTGTTCATGGGCAGTGAGAAATATCCAGATGAGAATGATTTTGATATGTTTATCAGGAAGTATGGTGGCTCAGACAATGCATTTACCGACTGTGAGAGGGTATGCTATAATTTTTTCTATTCTTGTCATTCTTTAGTTAAATCACAGATATGTCTCTGGTTATATTACATTGCATACAATTAAATTTGTTATGTGGTTGAACCTTACACACATCAAAACTAGGGCTCTCACGGTTTCATAATTCCTCGGTTCGGTTCGGTTCAAGGTTTTTATCTCCTCGGTTTCGGTTTTGGTTCAGTTTTCGGTTCTTATCGCACTTTAATGTAAAAAATCAAATAACTCAAAAAGATGGCGCGATTTCATTATTTAAATGAGCAGCCCGGGAACATGTTTACCTCTGATCTAAGTCAGTTTTATTTACAAATGAATCATTAACTTTGTATTGTATTTTATTAATGCGATGATAAATAGATGGCGCGATTTCATAATAAATAAGCGGCCCGGGAGCATGTATAACTCTGATCTACTCTATTTCTGCAGACAGCAAATTTTCACATTTTTTCACACGTACCTTTCTCATATACCATAATGATTTTGCAAAGCCGGCATATCGTTCTTTCCTGGGAGAGGAACACCATCTCTCGTTGGAAATCCAAAATAACCCCAACAGTGGGCCTTGTACGACTTTTGAGCGTTTAGAATGCTGAAATCTTCGAAATAGATTTCGAGATTCAGCTTCCTCTACTTTAGCGAACGGCACTTTTTTCTGAATTAACGAACCGTTAAAAAACCGAACATCGGAGTTTTCGAACCGAACGTACCGACCGAGGCTTGGTTATATAATTCAATGCGTAACACTAACTCAGAGCAACAAATCATTTTGGTCGTAAAGATAATATTTTTTACAATTGTTTAACTGATCTGTAAGATTGTCTTGATTGTATTTCAGACAGTGTTTTACTTTGACATACAAAGACAGCAATTCTATGATGGCTTAGATAGGTTTGCTCAATTCTTTATCTCGCCCCTCATGAAGCAGGACAGTGTTGATAGAGAAACAAAGGCTGTTGATAGTGGTATGGTCATTTAAATGATTTTTATGTCTCCACTAGAAGTGGTGACATATTTTTATAGTCTCCAACTTTTTGTGAATGGTGTTTGGCGTCTGTAGCATTGGTGTCTGTAACAAATTACGGCATCTGTAACAAATAGCAGGTGGTGACATTTTGCAGGTTAATGACTTGTTTGGATTACTAATTAATTTAGCACGGTAGAATTTGATTTTAATGAAGTAATGAAAAACATTTTTTAAAGCAGGAAATGAATTTGCTTGTTTCAGTACCTGTAGAACTTATTCAATATTTTAATAGAAAGAGGATGCATCCACTGGATTGGACATTTGTACTAGAGCAGAACACAAGCACACAATGGATTTGGATATCTAATATTAAATCACATTATTTTAGAGTTTGATATGAGTACAGCATCAGACAATGCCAAGAAGCAGCAGTTGATGGGAACGACTGCAGCCCCTGGGCATCCCATGGGAAAATTCATGTGGGGTACGTACAGAATCAAGACAAAGGCACATTCTTATTATAATAAGAAAAATGGACAGCAAGTGATTGTTACAGAAAGAGGGGAGAACAAACACTTTTTGTAGTGATAATATCTCTTATGTTCAGCATTACGAGATCTTGAAAGATGCCCAAAATACAATACAATATATGTTATTAAATTGTTGATTTTGTTCTCATATTTCAGTATTTTTGTGAAGAATGTGCTGTTTTTGGTAAGGTTTGATTATTTATATTTTTGTTTGGATCCTATTCTAGGTAACACTAAAAGCCTAAAGGAAGATCCAGCAGCTAATAACATAGACATCTATGAGAGGCTTCAAACTTTCCACAAGAACATGTACTCCTCCCACTATATGACTCTCGCAGTACAATCTAGACGTAAGAAACATTTAGTACCCCACACAAAAGGCTGTCATTGAAATTGTTTTGTAATACCTGTAGTACATCAACTTTTAAAGATGGCCTTTACTCGATCTTAATTTTTGATTCTCAATTTCCCAAATACATGAAATAGATAGTTTGGTTCCCACATAAAGGCATAATCTTGAAATAGGAAACTTTAAAAAAACCTGTTGGACATGACATGATAAGGAATGCTGTGAATACTGTAAAACTGAAACATTTTCGAAAGTTACTGTCAATTTTTATTTGTGGACAGTGGTCGCCATTCTGAGTTCAGCAAATTCTTACAACTTCCAATTGTAGAGACTGTGCTGTATTTATATTAACCATTTGCAATAACTTTTAATGACATTTGGTCATGTTAATGCTTTCTATTTTCTTTAGATTCCTTGGATACTTTGGAGAAATGGGTGAGAGAAATATTTGCTCCTGTTACTCATAAGTAAGTTCGACTTTCATTCATGTGTAATCTTTAATAAAGGTTTAATGCTCCACCTGTATTTTGAAGTAATGGTAGTCATTTTAATGTTTTATGTATTTATATTTCAGTGGAAAAGACAAACCATCATTCGCAAATCTGGAATCTCCCTTTAACAATGATCGGTTCTACAAGATGTATAAATGTAAGTTCATATAGTAACTTCAACATTGTATGTTCTTTTTTTATCAATCAAATATTCAACAGACCATAAAAAGATATCTTAGGTCTATATATGTACCCTTCGTGTCATGGTAAATTATTATATGTTCATCTTTTTTATATTATACCAGGATACACTTGATTGTACAGTTAAAGCATAATACACAGCTGGGACACTTGAAAGGAAGACTTCAATTTGTATATTTAATATTGTAGGGGTTCCAATAAAGAATGTGCACCAAATAGAAGTCACATGGGTTCTTCCCTGCCAGCTGCAGTACTATAGGTGAGTAGACCATTTTTCCTTCATCCAATAACTGCCTTTGAAACCTTGTTGAGCACTTGGCCTTATCCATGGTCCAGAATGACAATGCTTGGCCTATAAATTATGTTATTGGATTCTGAAGTGACCAAGAATAAGGGTACATAAGGGTACTAGCAGATAGCGAAAACAAATAAGGAACTAAATCTTGAGATCTATACCCCAAGCTATAGTAGTAAGATAAAAATAAATTTATATACATAAATATGAATTTCAATGAAAGCATTCAATATTTATATAGTATAAATGTATTGTATTTTGTGCCATTATTTTTAAGAACCAAACCACTGCACTATATCGGCTGGCTAACTGGACACGAGGGCAAGGGTAGCATCCTATCTTACCTCAGGAAGAAGTGAGTCTATTTTTTAAGTTGTTTAATTGTATGTAAAGTTAAATTGCCAATAAATGACCCAATTATTAAAGAAAAATTAGCAAAGCTGGGGACCTATCATTATGTTGTGGTTATTATATCACCACCACAAGTGGTGACATATTGTTATACTCTCCAACCTTTTTGTGACGGTGTCTGGTGGTCGGAGTAACAAATGGCTGAGGGTTACATTTTGCAAGTTAGTGGCTTGTTATCAATTACCATTTGTCTAAGTGGATAAAAGAAACAATTGATAAGAATGGAAATAAAGTAATTAGAGGCTGGAAAACATATAGACTTGTTGCATGATTTGGATATTTGGAATCTGTTTTTAGATTATGGGCTTTGAAGCTTGACAGTGGTAATGGAGAGACAGGGTTTGAACACAACACTACCATGGCGTCCTTCTCTATAAATGTAACATTGACTGATGAGGGCCTGGACCATTATCAGGAGGTACACATTTCCTATTTTAAACATTGGCATCAGTCAGACCTTGGTTATTTGCACAAACTGTGTTTATGTTCTGTTGACCAATTACTGTACATATACTTATTTTGACGCTTCTTAATTTGACAGATTTGCTCAATTTCAAATATTGGTGTAAATATTTAATTTGGCGGATTCAGGACTGAAGTTTAGTTTTTGTATATGTCATTAGGACAGGTGTTTACTAAGGTATTTTCTGTATTTCCTTTGGAATAATGTAGAATTGATGACATGTTGACAGGAAAGGGGCCCCTGAAGTTTCATTTCTGAAGTGCATTGGACAAAAATTCCAAACTGAAATTTGACAGATTTTTAATTTGGCGGATTTTCTGAATCCCCCAATCCGTCAAATTAAAACGGGAGCTAAATTAAGTGTATCTACAGTATTTTACCCATGAACCTTACCTAGTAGCCAAACGTCATATTACTGCAACCAGGGCTCTTTATATTTCAATATTGATTCTTTCTTTAGAATAATTTTCTTGTGGTCAATTCTTTTCTGATTAGGTTTACTAAGTAATGTTTTCAAAACCTTATGATTTTAGGTTTTGAGTGTTTTGTTTGAGTACATACAGATGTTGAGAAATGAGGGACCTTGTGAGAGAATATGGAGTGAAATCAAAACCATTGAAGACAACAGTTTCAGGTGGCAAGAACAGGTAAACATTATACAGTATTTTGATTAAGAACTATGAACTCTACTGAAAATCAGTCTTTAAATTGGTTGGCAAAGTTCAGTGTGCTTCAGGGTAAAGAGGGTGGTGGCCCTTAAAGTGTCTGTGCGATGCTAATGGAGTCAAAATTCAATTTATACATGTTTTAAATGAAGTAAATACCACTTAAAAGTCAAACCATGTACCGTTCTTGTAAATCTTTCTATAAATGTGAAATTTGATGTTCAAAATCGGGAACCCAATGTCAAGTGCCAATCATGACATCACGATCAGAACAGGTTTTGAACATTTTGCTAGAGTGTATGATCTCCGAACGTGCTTATAAAGTGTCAGTGTAATTGATTGCCACTGCATTCAATGCAGTACGGAAATGATTCAACTTTGACTACTTTGGAGCCACGATTTTTCCTCCGATGAGCGAAAAATATAATACCTCAATTAGAGCTTCCGACCCTGTGGTGCGTTTACACAAAGCTAGTCATGCAGAATTACATTCTGGCCAGTCAGAATACAGTATAGCAACTATACACGTTGAGTTGATCCTGTTACATAACTCAGTGCTGTTTAAAATCTTACAACCAAAAGGCATTTAACCATGAGATGATTTTGAGAAGTATTACTCCTTTCTGGCCAATCAGAACACAGTATAACATGAACACTTTTGAATTTACATTCGAGTTGCATAATGCATTGCGGATTAAAATCCATAACCGGTTCTGATCGTGACGTCATGTTTTTTTTCCGGGAAATCTTATTTTGGCACTGAAAGACAATCAGATGAAGATGTGAGTCTGTTGGTATACTGTTTCTACCAACCAATACCCATTGAATCTATTTGTGTAAAGAAAAATAAATGGAAATTACCGAATTGGCACTTTAAGCAAAACAAACAAAACATTTTGTTTGATTTTTCATCAAATCAATACAAGAAAGAAATAATGAAAAATAGAAGTACCTACTGATGATCATAATATAGTGTTACTTTAAGGTCTTGTGTCACCTATGCCCTCTGTATCCATTCACTCCACAAAAGGTAATGGAGATAGGTCTAGAGGTTAGATGCAAGACTAGTAACAGAGATAACAGTAAAGATTACAATAGAGGGCCAAATGCATGACATTCATATCTTTCTCCTTAGTGTGTTCATGATTATTACCCATGTTGTACACTTGTATACACTTGTATACTTGTATTTAGAGGGAACCAATGGATTATGTAGAGAAGTTATGTGAGAACATGCAGCTATTCCCTCCAGAACACTACCTCACCGGAGAAGACCTTTTAATGGACTATGACAGCAAGGTAAGTACAGTAAGAGTGATGTATGGTAGATTTATACACCTCACACTAGAGCAAGCATAGGTACCTGTGCGACCTGTGTAAAAATCGTGTAATTTTGAGTTTAAGTTTTATGTAACTTTTGTTATGGTAACTGTTTTATGTTGTGACTCATGATCTGCATTAGTATCTAGCAACGCTAATGCCTTGCTTCCAATTCCATTGCATCAATGTTTTCTAACTAAATGGGAATTATCTTTCAACAAATAACAAAGACAAAGACAATTTTCAATGTTATAACAGTTGCCAAAAACATCATTTTAAGTGGGTCATGAAGGAGGTCACTGTAAGGTCGCCATGAAATGAACATCTTGGGAAATCTCAGGTCTAATCTGTATATACATTTCTTTGTAGGTGATAGCAGAATGTTTGAATTGTTTAGTTCCATCCAAGGCAAACATAATGTTAGTATCCAAGAGATTTGAAGAGTCAGGGGAATGTACAGAGAAAGAAAAGTGGTACCAGACACCTTATAATGCAGTCAGTAAGTGACATCTCACATTGAACAAATTTGTGTTTCTAAAGGCTACATTTGATTTGCATCTTTTTATTTGCTATCTAATCTGATTGTGATGTTTTTTCAGATATACCAGATGATTGGATATCACAATGGGCAGGTAAGCTCTTTTAAATTTTATTTGATAAAATAAAGCAAAAAATGCCTAACCCTTAAAGCCACTTTAATCTGAGATTGTGTCTAGTTCTGGAATTTTAACTTTCAGATATACAGCCTCGGCCAGAATTCCACCTGCCTGCAGCCAATGAGTATATAGGTAGGTACCCAGATTCTGTTTTGTCAAAGTTCTGGTCTAATACAATTTGTGTATTTACTTGATATTGTTTTTGGCTCACAGAGTGAGCCTATGGGATCAACTGTTGCATTTTAATGATTAAACAGTAAACTAGCATGTGAGATTCAGTACAGGTCAAGGCAGAATATTTGACTAATTTGAATTAATTTTGTCTTTACAGCATCTGATTTTAGTCTCAAGGAAGTGGAAGAAAAGTTGAATACAGAGGTAAATACGTGAATAATGTTATTTTCATTCTGATAATTGTCAATCAATGATGGCATTTTGAGATATTGTAGTGCAATCCCTGTCTTACAACAGATCTTAAATTTAGTTCATATGTATCAGCCAGTAATTGGCCTGATAATTTTACATATTTCAATTGTAATATTTATGGATGGCATAAAGGTCATATTAGTGCTTTATGATGTCTAAGAACAAGGACTCTGATTATTTGTCATCGATCTACATATTTAGACAACATTCTAGTTTGGAGTTTCATGTTTCAGTACCCAACTGCAATAGTTGACACTCCTCAGGGAAAATTATGGTATAAGAAGGACTCCAAGTTCAAAGTTCCCAAAGGTAAACAAATATATCATTATAATTACAGTGAAACTTGTAAAGTGAACCTCTAAAAGTGGAACACCTCTGTTAGTGGAACACATTTCAAGACCAACTGACTTTATGTTAAATGAACCTATGTTAGTGGAATGCTTGTCAGAGTCCTAAGACCAACTGACATATTGTTAAATGAACCTTTATAAGTGGAACACCTTCCAAGTGAACAACTTTTAAAGGTACCAAAGGTGTTTCTTTTAGATAGGTTTTACTGTAGCATTTTGATGTCATAGAATAGATTCTTACATATTACAAGTTTGCTTTTGATTGGGCAACAAAAAACACCTTTGCACTCTTTGCTGCCACTTTAAGTAGCATTTTGGTTATATGTTGGATATTATGTATTGTAGCATACATCCATGTTCACCTTATCAGCCCTGTAGTGAATAAAACTGCCCTAGATGCCGTCCTCCTAGATCTCTTTATCCTAATACTAGAGCAGAATTTGGCTGAGGTGGCCTATGCTGCTGATGTTGCTGAACTCAGGTGGGTTGAAGTTGTTGAGAAACTTAATGAGTTTAAAAGTACTCCTGGTAGGCTGTTAGTGTTATTGCCCATGATGGGTCCGTTTTTTCACGTGCTGATTTCCTGTACTTTAAACACTTCTACTTCACATAGAGTTATCAATATTGTAAATTCTAAATACTTCAGATTCATTAGGCATCTCTATCTTTGTTTTCCAGTTACTCCTTCAAACCAACTGATATAGGACTTGTGGTGAAAGTCAGTGGATTTAATCACAAATTACCAGTAAGTAAATACATCAGTACAAGATTTCCCAAAATGTTTGTAACTGAATCAATTACCAACGACAATACCTATTTCACTATGTGAACACCCCTATGTTCTCACCAGTGAACCTGTGTCTCACATGAAAATCCACAGTAAACATATGTCGCTATTACATCAACACATTATATCACAGTAAAACCTGTCTAATAGACTACAATCCAAATACTACTGTGCCCAGCCAAAAGTGCTCACATTAACAGGTCTTCATATTTTATGGCTTCTTAATATGTGAGTCAAAAGTAGCACCAAGAAAAAGTATTTACATTCAGAGGTGTTCAGATAAGAGATGTGTTCCGATATATAGGTTTACTGTACTGTACCTTGTAGTTGACTGTTTATTTTAGAAACTGTTTGAGACAATCATAGACTACCTCAGTGGCTTCAAAGTGGACCAGGATGTCTTTGGTGCTGTCAAAGAGACACTCACAAGAACCTACTTCAATCAAATGATAAAACCATCTAAACTTAATAGGTAAACAATGAGGATCTTTTCTATATCCTGTATGACATACATATCATCAATATGTTGATGATCTGTGTTTAGCCCCCCTAATCAGTCTGTTAAATGGCAGGCTAAAAATGTGTTTTCAAACTTATTAATGAATAATAACATTAGTTTGATCAAAAATATATCATTTTAAAAAATGAGGTGTGTGTTATTATAATGGAGTTGTAATGTTTACATGCTTTAATTTGTGTGAATAAATAATAAAACAGAAATACATCAAATATTATAGAGAAGTCCGAATTGAGATTCTGATGCAATCTTATTGGACGGTTGTGAGCAGACGACAAATGATTGATGATGTCACACTGCCAATGTTGCTAGGGTGGGTTGAGCAGTTCAAATCCAGATTAATGGTTGAAACTTACTTCCATGGCAACCTGCTTCCTCAGGAGTGTAAAGATATGTATGGTTATGTCTTAGAGAAAGTGAAGTGCAGAGTTCTACCTGGGTATGCCCTAGCTGATGTAAGTGGATGCTTAAATAGATTTTTATGTCACCACCTGTAGTTTTGACATATTGTTATAGTCTCCAACTCTTTTGTGGATTGTGTTCGGCATTTTGGGTCGGCGTCTATAACAAATAGCAAGAGATGACATTTTGCATATTAATGCCTTGTTTATTAATAGCGGTTGCTCAGCTGCAGAGTCATTCACTCTTGCTCAAACACTGCTCATTTTGAAGAATAATTGTGACCAGGAGGTCATAATGATCTCATCAGGCAATGACAGTACTTTAAACATTGTTTTTTTTTATTTCTGTATGTCAAACACTTTTCATTGATTCTGTAACAGTTGATTATCCCACCGAACAAAGTTTGAGATGGATATAGAGAAGCCATCCATTCTTCCGTCCGATCCGTTTAAGATGGATGTAGACAAGCCATCCATTCTTCCGTTCATCCATTCATCTGTCCATTCATCTGTCCACCAGTCCGATGTAGATATCCAAATGTCAGTCTGAATTTATCCATGTGTAAAGATTGTATGCTTCTCTGTTGCTCTGAATCAAAACATGTGGGGCAGTGTATTTTTATATTACAAGATGTTCGTCCATCCAGAAGATAACTTGAATACTAGTGGACGGATATCTGTAGGGATATAGTAAGGGCCTCCATCCATCTGTCAGTCTGAATTTATCTATATGTAAAGATTGTATGCTTCTCTGTTGCTCTGAATCAAAACATGTGGGGCAGTGTATTTATATATTACAAGAAGTCCGTCCATCTGTTCTTCTGTCTGTCTAGGCGATAACTCAAATACCAGTTGACAGATTTCATTCAAATTTTATAGGTTTATGCCTTATGGGAGTAGTAGCTCTGCTCGGGGGGGAATTTTCAGTATTGCTGCTCAATTCAAAATGGTGGCCATTTTTTGTACAGAGTGTGTTATTGGAGAGAATATGATAAAGATTGCTAAGATATAAAGTAAATTTGGCAAAGTTTTTTTTGTTGTTTTGAAAACACACACCTAAAATTCACCAACTTTATTTTGCATGGAAGAAACATAAACTTCAGATCATTATTTGATTTGATACAAATTACAGATTTATGCTCAGTAGTAATGTAGTAAAGCTTTATCTAAAATGTAAGTCAAGCAAAATATATAATGCTGATAGTCCAAATATTAAAAAAATATTTCATAGACTTTAGCATTGAAGTTATAACATGCTCTTGAAGTATTGATAAATGAATGGTTCTCAAATGTAAATGGTAAAATTTGTTTAAAGGAGGACAGAAAGTATCACAATAGATTTCGGACAGTCATATGTTGGATTTTGGCTATTTTCTGAGGATTTGAACAGGTGCATATTATGTTAGGCCAAAGCATTTCCTTCAGGAAAAGTACTCATAGCTAAGAGATGATAAAGTAATATAGACTTTGAGACAGGGAAGGTGCAAACAACCCACATATTTTTTCTGAAATGTTGTCCTGATTTTCAACCCCTTCTACCCCTGTAATAGGTCGATTTTTGTTGCATCAATATGTTGTGTTATGACACACAGTTAACCCCTTTAAAAGGAATAATGCATTCCTTCAGGGGGTTTAAAGATATCCGTTATGGGTGACCAAAATTAAGCAGAAAACAATAGATTGCATGAGTTTTCCCTATGGGAAAATAACATTGAAAATATTGTTTTCCACTTTATCTAAAAGGAATGCATATATTCCTTTCAAGGGGTTAACTGTGTCTCAAAATGCAACATATTGATGCATCAAAAAATGGAAAAGCAGGGATGGAAGGGGTTGAAAATCAGGACAACATTTTAAAAAAAACATGTGGGTGGCTTGTTTTCACCTTCCCTGTCTCAAAGTCTAAATTTTTTATCATCTCTATGAGTACTTTTCCTGGAGAAAATGCATTGGCCTAACACATGCACCTGTTTAAATCCTCAGAAAGCAGCCAAAATCCAACATATGACTGTCTGAAATCTGTTGTGATGCTTTCTGTGGTCTTTTAAGAGAATGAAAGCTCCTGTGCTCTATAGTATATAAATGCATGAAAAGTTCAACACCATTCCATCAAAATTTGTGTCAGTGTCTTAAAATAAGTAGAAGCTGAAGATTTGTCCTAGGAAATCATGATAGTGCCTCATATAATGTGGCAGAAGGCATACTAGAAAGAGTGAATATTGGTAGAGTTAAGAAATCAGATTAAATTAGATTGGTGACGGCAACCGATCGCTTGATCTTTTTGATGATCATTCTTTTTCTCATCATATCTTCAATCTTTTGTCTTTATATTTATGAAGTGGAGGGGGTATGTATAGTATAAGAGGGTATGTGCCAGAATTAACATTGTTTGTGTTATATTAGTTTCTTTCTCTGCTTCTCGTGTGTAACAGCAAGCAACTTTAGTACACACCTTTCTAATTGTTATACTTTTCAATTGTCTTTGTATCAATTCCAACCAAGCTCATCCCACCGTCCTGAACAATACATGCACCATTCATCATAGAAGCATCATCAGATGCAAGATACACAATAAGTTTGGCAGTTTCCTCAGCAGTCCCAATCCTTTTGTCTGCAGGGAGGGGCACTTGCTTTGTTGCTCTCTCATATTCAGCATCCTCTTCATCTTTACTTTTAAACAATCCAGTTCTTGTCAGTTCGTGGGTTTTGACCCATCCTGGACAAACGGCATCTATAACTCTATACCAGCACATCGCGTGAACTGGCTTACTCCAGCCTTTGCAATACTGTAAAAAAGTGCCCCAACGACATTAGGGCGTTCAGCATAAACGGAGGAAACATTTACAATATTTCCATGAGTCTTCTTTAATTCTGGAAAGCACATCTGCGACAGAAATATTGGTGTTTTCAGGTTAACGTTGATGTTTAAATCAAAGTTTTCTTCGGTTCCATCTGATCCAACACATCCAACATTATTCACAAGTACGTCGATTTTTCCAAATTCATCAACTGCCATTTGGAATATTTTCTTCAATAATCCAGGGTCCTGAACATCACCTTGTACCATTGGAAACTTGTCATTTTCAGCACCAATCTGTTTACATTCATTCACAGTTTGTTCAAGTGTCTCAAGGTCCCTTCCATGGATTAGCACATTAGCTCCTTGTCTTGCAAACAACAATGCTGTTGCCCTACCAATACCCCTGTTTGAACCAGTCACGATGATAGCTTTTCCAGAGAAATTCATCTTAGTTTTTAAACTTTTTTTTAGATACTAAATCTCTCTTTATGTGTTTAGCTTCGTCTGTTCCTCATGTATGCATATGCTAAGTGGACGGTTATTATCCCATCGAACGAAGTTCGGAGGGATATAGGGAACGCCTCCGTCCGTCCGTCCGTACGTACGTACGTACGTCTTTACGTACGGACATGTCCGTCCGTCTGTCCGTCCGTCCGTCCGGGCAATAACTCAAATACCGTTGGCCCGATTTTGTTCATATTTTGTACACATATACCTTATGGGGGTAGAAGTTCTGCTCGAAAGCCGATTTTCAAAATGGCCGCTCATTTCAAAATGGCGGCCATTTTAGTGCCGATTTTACAGTAATTTAGGTGCAATATGTAAAACTGTTATATCAATATGTTTTAAATGTAAAAAATTATAAAGGACATTAATAATGCTACAAATGTAGATATTAAAGAAGCACATGGCAGCCATCTTGAAAAATGGCGGCCTTTACTCGTCATTTTACGATTTTTGCTATAACTCAAAAAATAGTGGAGCGATTTTGTTCATATTTGGTATGTGAATACTATAAGCATTGTACACTGTCTAAAGACACTTTTGGTAGAAGAATACGTTAAAATGGCGGCCATTTTTCAATTTTTTTTTCAAAATGGCCGCCATTTTAACGTATTTTACTATAACTCGAAAAGTAGTGGAGCGATTTTGTTCATATTTGGTATCTGAATAGTTTCTTTCTCTGCTTCTCGTGTGTAACAGCAAGCAACTTTAGTACACACCTTTCTAATTTTGAAAAAAAAATTCAAAAATGGCCGCCATTTTAACGTATTTTACTATAACTCGAAAAGTAGTGGAGCGATTTTGTTCATATTTGGTATCTGAATACTATAAGCATGGCACACTGTCCTATGACACTTTTGGTAGAAGGCGGCCATTTTGAAAATTTTTTTGAAAAATGGCCGCCATTTTAACGTATTTTACTATAACTCGAAAAGTAGTGGAGCAATTTTGTTCATATTTGATATGTGAATACTTTAAGCATGGCACATTGTCTAATAAAACTTTAGGGAGTAGTTGGCCATTTTGAAAAATGGCCACCATTTTTATGTGTGTTATTTTACAAGTACGTGTGCGATTTTTCAAAAATTTTAGAGGTGGCTACTGAAAAGCATATTATTTCTTCTGATGACAACTTGGCTAGTGAGCAACCATTTTGAAAATGGTGGCCTTTCTGGTGTGTTGTTTTATGATATTTGCTATTCGTTTGTAAAAATGCCAGCCATTTCTGTTCGATGGGATTCGCTACGCTTTGGCGTTGCCGTTGTTCTGGTTTGTGTCTGTTATCCACGTGCTTATTTGTGTTTGTGTTATGGTAAAAGTCAATCTGACAGTAGATGCTTATTTGTGTCTTTATACTGTAGGTCAGTCTGACATGGCTATGTTTGTTAGTATGCAATATAGCCAAATGTACTTTTCCTCAAAGATTTAAATATGCATCTAACAACAGTTTTCAAGTGATCCTTTCCATGGCACTGGGTTTGTTGAGGTAATTTAAAATGATTAAGTATTGTTGCTGCTTATACTGGCACTTTGACATCAGGCTTTTGTTGTAATTAGCTGCTAGTGTCATCAGCTCAAGAGGGAATTTGCAATATGACAGCTCAATTCAAAATAGCCACCATTATTCATAAAAAATGTAATCTTTGAGAGCTCAGATACTAGTCAAGGGATATTGTTCAAATTGTGTATGGTGATGCCTAGGGACACAGGAGCTCTACTGCAGAGGGAATTTTCAAGATGTCAGCTGGATTTCAAAATGGCTACCATTTTTCATAAAAGAACATTATCTTTTTTATATGTTGATGCCTAGGGACAAAGGAGCTCAGCTCAAGAAGAAAATTTCAACATGGCCACTGAATTTCAAAATGGCTGCCATTTTTCATGAAAAACCTAATCTTTGATAACTCAAATACAAATGGACAGATATTGTTCAAATTTTATATGCTGATGCTTAGTCACAAACTAGCTCTGTTTGAGAAAATATTTCCAAGGTAGCACCTGAATATCAAAATGGCTACCATTTTTCCTAAAAAACATAAACTTTGATAAAAATGGCCACCATTTTTTTGCAAAAAACATAATCCTTGATGACTTAAATAACATTGTACGGATTTGGTCTTTCATTAATTTTCAAGATGGCGGCTATTTATCAAAATATGTTTTGTTCGGTGGGATTTGCTACTCCGTGGAGGTGCTGTTTTCTAGTTGAACTTGGTCTGATCTCTTAACTGAATGCAGTTTCAAAGGAAGTTTATTTATTTGCTTTTACTGCATGCATTCTCATGCTTGTCTGTCTCAGATCACCATAATTTAGGAATGATCCCAAAGAAAACTTGGATATGGTGTATTCAACATTGATTTTTGCAAGTATTATGTGTCTTATGCAAACACAATTTGATAGCTCATACTTTATCTTTGTATTTATTTATTATAGCGACGTGTGGTGGAGCTGCCCACTAAGGATAGCTATGTCCGTGTTAAGACATTCAATGAAGGTGACTGTAACACTGGGATCACCAACTACTACCAGACAGGGCCTGGAACACTACATATGGCTGTCGTGAATGAACTGTTGAATGTAAGTTCATTTTTTGTAGAAATTTGTAGAAAATAATTTGCTATATGTCAGTAATATTCTTACATGATTGTGTTTATCTGAATATGATAATTTTATGGAACTCAGTTTCATTCGTTTGTGTTCTTTAGGGATCATATAGAAGCATTGAAGTATGTCCAATCTTAATGCTAATTTCATATCAAATATGACATCTCATTTTAGGAGAGAATTCTGTTCAGTGTACATTGGTGTATTCACCATTAAGTATTTATCACATGTAATTGCACATTTATTATGACCATTTAGATGCAAATGGAGGAGCCATGTTTTGACATATTGCGCACAAGAGAGCAGCTTGGGTATGGTGTGTTCTCTTACCATAGAGATACATGTGGCATCTTAGGCCTTTCAGTGACAGTGCAGAGCCAGACATCCACTGCCAGGTAAGAATGATATGATCATTTTCAGTTTCCTCATTTTAAGGATGAATGGAATGTTAAAATCTGGACTATAGTGTACTAGGTATATAGTGTATTGGTACTATAGTGTATCTTTGAAATTGAGTGGCCGAGATATACATATGATATATGAATATGAATGTGACCAAAAATGTGCCTTTCTGTCTAATGTCCATGATTTTGTCCTTTGTAAATCACAACAATCAGTCTAAAAATTTATTTGCATGTTTTACAGTATGAGTGAGCTAAATGACCACATAGAGAACTTTGTGAAGGAGTTTGGCAAAATGGTAGCTGATACGACACAGGAGCTGTTTGACACCCTTGTATGTATTAACATTACTGAACTTTATAGCCCATTTCCATCTCTGTGTTTATGCTTATATGGCAATAGCTGAATGTAGTAGTAATATTTCAACATATAATTTTTAAAATTTGAATCAAATTTTTAAAATATAAAATAGTGCTTCATTTTGGAAAAGAGAATATTAGATGATATCATAATCATGGGCATAGCGCTATTTTTCTAAGTAGTACGCCACCACCACAGGAACAAGATTTGAGTGAAACAAAAACGAGCATTCAGGGTTGTCTGGGGGTTCTCCCCCAGGAAAATTTTGAAATTTGGAGCAAATTTGCAACCATCTGGTACGCCTTTGATAATGCATTATAGGTTGACACCCTCATGATATGATAATTTGGTATGGTACAATAATATGCTTGTTTGTGCATTCATTATAGATTGACACTCTGGTGAAACTGAAGAGATGTGAGGACAGCAACATGGGAGAGGAAGTGGACAGACATTGGAACCAGATCCTTACGCAACTCTACTTCTTTGACAGAATTCCTAAAGAGGTATGAATATTTGAACTTTTTGCTTGAGTATTGTCATTTATAGTTTTTTGACATGAGCTATCGATATAGAGAAATGTATAATTATCATTTTTATCATCTAACAATTTTCAGTTAATATGCATATATTATAAAAGCTCTTTAACCCGAACACCACTGGAATTATGAACATGACAACTTGACCATTTTATGACTTGACAACTTGACCATTTTAAATAAAATAATGAATCTTTCTTTCTAAAGTAAAAATTATGAATGTAACTACATTAAGGTTTTCAGTTTGACAATAATGTTACTTGTAACCTTGTCAAACGTTATTATTGTATTATCGTATGTATAGTATATATTTGAAATAAATGATTATTAAAAAAAAAAAAATTATGAACATTTTATTGATTACAATATTTCGTATCACAGATCACCGAGATTGGTACACTGAAGCTAGATGAGTACAAGGCATGGTATAAGACAGTCATGATGGCTAATGACAACAGGAGAAAACTCAGTGTACAGGTATGACTCATTCTTTATTTTTCTCCTTTCAGATGAAAGCAAAAGCATAAAATTTGAATGATTAATGATTTTATTTGCTACACAAAACATCTTGGAAAGTTGTTTAGAAGGGACATATTGGGTTACTCCATTGTTAGATGATTTTAATGCCACCACCAGAAGTGGTAACATATTGTTATAGTCTCTCTTCTGTGGTTGGCATGTGGCAAGTGTAACAAATGGCATGTGGTGACATTTTGCAAGTCTATGCCTTGTTAAGAAATATTTTATTATCTAAAGTATACTGATTCCTCTCACGTATCACTACTACCAATGATTTCCATGAATTACAGATATCTGCGTATGATAAAACACCCAATGAAGAATCCGGTGACAAGGACACTCAGAAATTCAAAGATAAACCTACCTCAGTAACTAGCTCGGGGGATACATCATCTGTTATATCGAAGGAATGGACTCTCAGCTACGAATCTGTATCTGACATTCTAAGCCAAAGTGGGGGTAGGGCTATAGGCATTGATGACATTCAGAAATATAAAGATAACCTCAATATTCTACCAGTTTCCAGAATTGTATCTCAGGAGAAATCTTAGATCTGACATCTATTATTTTCTTCCTTAAACACAAAATATTTATACATGTTTTGAGGACAAATTCAATTTATTTAATGCATGTATTATATAAGGATAACATACATTTATATATGTACAAATCATACAATTTTGAAGATATTCCCAAATATTCCAAAAACTGTCAACATATGTGTCCTTTTTGGCACTTGCTCTCTGATTTTTAGTAGAAAATAAACCCGCATTTTTACATAAGTTTTTGTAAACAGTTTGTTCAATTATGGACATCTCAATGACAAGATCTTTTTCTCCATCAATAGGAGGAAATAATAAATCGACCATTCAAAGCTAAAATAAGAGATAGGGGTGACATAATTGCAAGCAAGGTGCACAAATATGCAACCAAATGTATATGTATGTTTATTGTTTATGTATATCACTTCTTTTTTTTTATTACATTGATAATATAGAACACCTTTTTCAATGCTGTAAACCTTTTTAAGAAAATAAGGATTTAGTAGAAGTAAAATAATTTCACATATTGCACACAGATGCCAGCATCTACAATATGTACAATGCATTTCTATAAAAAATGCATTCCTATATACAATTCTTTGTGATAAATGCATTAATTAGAATAATCGGGAATTGTACATAAGGTACTTGAAGGTCATTTGGAGCTTGTCTAGACCGGATGCCTCTAATAGGCAGTTGTAATTGCCTATTGTGAGAAGTACAGTATCTTGACTGTCCAATAAGAATGGTTCTCTATTCAATATTAATGTATTTAGCAATCATATTTAGCTGTTTTGTATAACTGTGTAACATATCTGTCATTGAATTTCTCACATGTCTGCCATTCTCTTATATCGCTTTACAGAATCTTTCTACAACTAGTCATCTGGTATATTTAATGTATTTTCTGTGAAGCCCCTCTGGAAATGTCTGGTTTAGGTCCTATGAAATGAACACACGTACCTACCCACTTGTGACTCTGATATGACTGAAAGGAATACATATGGTGTGGATTTACATGTACACATGTATCAAACGTTTTCTTAGACTCTCTCCAGTCTTTATCTCCTCAGACCTAGATAAGTTTGTCTGGTAAATCAGGATTAATAAGTTGAATAAGATGCTTTGGAACTTGATCAATGGTTGTTCCATGCACCAGTGGGCTGATCCCGGGTGATGCCTAGAAATTTGTGATTGGGCCCCTTTAGAGATAGCTGTACCAATGGGGAGATCCTAGGTGTTGCTTATAATTTTGTGGTGGTGGCCTCGTCATAGATAGCAGTACCAATGGGGAGAGCCCGGGTAATGTCTAGAATTTTGTGGTGGTGGCCCCATTAGAGATAGCTGTATTAGTGTTTGCCTTCATAGAGGCACTGGTTGATGTTGTTGTTGTATTGGGGGTATTTAGATATTTCTGGCTTCTGCTCTTCCTGCCACATACACAAATCTTCAGGAAACTTTGACGGAACTTTCTACAAAAATACATTTGTAAGATGTCAAAATCAAGTTACACATTGGGACAGTTTCCTCTCAAAAACATTAGAGAATAGTTTCTAAAAGAGGCGGCATGCCAAAGTACAGAGATGTGTAAAATTCAAGCATCTCTAACATCTAAAGACTGCATATGAACGGTTTTAGCTCAAATGTCTAAGCCTGCATCTTTCTCACCAGGCGTTTCACTTTGGCCCTATATATCAATTTCCAAGATGGGAGATTTATAATTGTTTAAAATCATCCTTCATCAAAATGCTTCATTGCTATTTCAATTCAGGAAGAAAGAAGTGAAATACCTTGGACCAAAATTGGTACGCTGATTGTGTGATAGTATCAATTAGCTCAAAAAACAAGAAACTTACCTGGACAGGAAACAGTATAATATGGGGTTTATACAGCTGTTGAAATAGGCCAACAACCGGAGCCAAAGTTTCAGCTCTCTAGATGTCCCTACAGGTCGAAGTACAAGAGCCAATGCGTAGAATGTGTCCACGACATCAAGAATGAGAATAGGGCCCCAGCAAATCATGAAGATGACCATTACGCTGATCAGCATCTTGATTACCTGGAAGTCAATATTCAGTCATTGTTAAGTAATCAAGCTTGGTGGGGCTTTTAGACCAATTGTGGATTACGCCTCAGTCACCTTTGCTCTATGGCGGCACTACGGCGGCCGTAGCTTCACAAAATCGATATGGAGAATCTCCATCGTACTGCTTATCCCTATATTTTAAACTGCATATTTCTCTTGATTTTGGGAAGTTGCGGTTGCCGTACGGTTACCGTAGATCAAATGTGACTGAGGTATTACATCAGCGTGCTTGATCGTATCATGCTTTTGAATTGATTTTGGTATCATTTTATTTGCGTACTTGAATTTTTCACTGGTGATAGGAAGATGCACCCTATGCAGACAGAGCCTGTGGGAAATATTGGGTGCGGCGCAAATGAGCGGAGGGTGCGGAGCTAACGGTCATTTTTGAATTTAAAATTGGGATATTTCTGAAACTAAGCCGTTTTGGGACTTCAAATATACCAAGATATGTGTATTTGACACCAAATATCAATAAAATTGTGAAAATAGTAGTGCAATTCATTTTATAGCGACGCAGTATGCCTTAAATATTTCCCAGACCTATATATTTTGAGACTATCCTTTTAATACTGCGTCCCCAGCATTCATAAAAAATGGTGTTCAAGATACACTACCCATGCAAATTATTTTTGCATTTTGGAAGCCAGGCAGTATCTGTGTGATTTTATAAAAATTCGGAAATGTGCTTCAGATATGAGCCCCCTCTAAATATTGGGTGCGGAGCTACGTTTATAGCTCCATAAACGTAGCTCCGCACCCAATATTTAGAGGGGGCTCATATCTGAAGAACATTTCCGAATTTTTATAAAATCACACAGATACTGCCTGGCTTCCAAGATGCAAAAATAATTTGTATAGATAGTGTACCTTGAACACCATTTTTATGAATGCTGGGGACTCAGTATTAACAGGATAATTTCAAAATATATAGATCTGGGAAAGTTTTAAGGCACACTGCGTCGCTATAGAATGAATTGCACTACTATTTTCACAATTGTATTGATATTTGGTGTCAAATACACATATCTTGGTATATTTGAAGTCCCAAAACGGCTTAGTTTCAGAAATATCCCAAATTTAAATTCAAAAATGACCGTTAGCTCCGCACCCTCCGCTCATTTGCTCCGCACCCAATATTTCCCACAGGCTCTGTCTGCATAGGGTGAGATGATGGTCGAATTTTTATAGGAGTAACTTAGTGTTAGTCAAAGTAATCATTTATACTGACCTTTATCCGACCTTGACTGTCATCTGTAGTCTTTGGTGCAGTGCCATTCTGCGGTGTCTGTCCCCCTTTGAGACCCCCAGCCTTGGAGATACTCCTCCAGAGGAACACGCTGATGGACAGATAGGCGAAGGCCATTATGATGAAAGGTATGATGTAAAGGACACAGAGCCAGTAGAGAAAGTACAGACGACGGCGGAGCACTGGGTCAGGCGCGGGAAAGGACCAGATGCAATACTGTCCTTCAGTGCTCTGTAATCAAACATTTCATTTTCAAGTCCTTGCAAAAATATTGCAAAAATAGCCCAAATCTAACTGTATACTGGTATATGTTGCATTTTGACGTTTATTTTGTGTTTGTTAGTGCGGCAACAAAAATACAAATAATTTATTCAGATCATAATTCAGAAGTCAAACAAAGATAAAGATTTAAAAGTCTAATACTTCAAAACTCATGAAAGCTCTTAATAATGCGAATTGATGATCGGTCTGAGTGCATACTTTTCCATTGAAAGCAAAAATGACCTACATGGGCGAAAAACGTCGGCAGTGCCAGTACAAACGATGCCAACCACACGATACCACAGGTGAGCCACGCCTTCTTGGTTGTAGACTTATATCTGGACTTCAATGCGTGGCAAATGGCGTAGTATCTAAAAAGAGAAAAGGAAGGAACATCTCTCTGATCATAATGCACGTGGAAGCTGTTAAGTTTCAAAACTAGTTTAAGTAAGTTATAAAACGGGAGCCTAAGGTGAAATCGGAACATGGGATAAGACAATTTCGTTTGGCTTTCCTTAAAATAGTCTACTTAAGAGCCATTCTTGGGGTGTGGAGTTGCCATACAAACAATATCGGTCCCTCTTGTCATATACTTCATCTTGCCCATGTCTACTTCATTCAATTTGTTTTAGAACCATATGCGATGCAAATTACCTTTCTACTGCCATCATAGTCAATGTAAGGATCGAACAACTGAAACTGACCCTCACCAAGTATGTCACCATGTAACACGTCCACCCTGGAGCGTGCCAGCCATCCATAAAGTACTCAACCGCCTGTAATGAGAAACCACAAAGGGTAACATTGGAAAAACACATCCATGCAAATCATATATTGTGTATAAACCATATTAGGTCAACAAGAAACGTATAGACAAATAAAGAAAATACGACAATCAATCAAAATTCAAGCACATTTTACACAGACATTACTGAGACACAAATAGTAACACGAGTGGGAGATTAATTTTAGACCGACGTGAAACGATTTTTCATAGATGGTAAATGAGCATTCTTCTTAATATAAACACGACAAGTGCCAACACTTTCTCTATAATTCCCTCATTATCTGTGTTTGATGTAGGCACTTTCTTATATTTATTTTAAAGTGACATTAAGCCCCTGGAGACAGTCCAACTGTATTAAAACCATTTCAGGATAAAGTATGTCAGGGTCACCATGTTCATCATATTTTTAGTACTGATTTTGAAGTTTAAGGGAAATGCGTTTGAGCCAATGAAGGACCATATGATAATTGAAAAATCACAAGGCTCTGTAACTTGCACCATGTCTAAACCTGGATACAAAGCTGCGTTTCTGTAAATCAAAGCTTAAGGATTACTTCCCTCTTACAACGCGAATTTATTTCGTTTTAATAATTAAATGAGGCACATACCTCATAGATTTCGGAAATTCTCATGCTGCTTGTTTAACAGTTCTTATTTTTTCAGATAAATAAAGTTTGTGTTCCATAGTGTAAGTGAATGGTTGATACGATTATTTTCTGGCAGTCATTCACCATTGTACAAGGCAAACATTTGCGCTATCGAGGTCACACAAGGTTAAAGTTCAAGTTCAATGCATTGAATGCACCAAAAATGTGTTTTGAAATCATTGGTAACGTTTAATTTATTTAGGTCACAAAAGGTTAAATCTAAAGGTCTGAAAGATTCCAGAGGGTTACATTTGAAAAAATTAAGCGGAAACTGTTCAAAATTGTGAAAAAAGCATGCAAATAAGCATTTGAGATAATTTTACGGGCTACGGGCCTGGCAGTAGGTAGAGGTCGGATCAACTGAGGTCACTATAATAGTTCAGCAACGATAAAATGCTTCCCCTTTAGGAGAAAATGGGATGGTAAAGCTTCCAACACATCACGGCGAATAACAATCTAACTGTTTTATCCAGTTTTGCACAAACCGGAGTTAACGCGCTTTCTTTCTTAAGCTTCTATTTCCGTAATGAAATCAAGAATTAAACAAATTGAAAATTAGTTAATGTACACATACCCTGAATGGTAGGCAGACGAGTATGAGTAGTAAGTCCGCACACGAGAGACTTAATAAGAACACATTGGTGATATCAGCGGTCTTGATGAACGCCAGGACAGCGATCAACACAAATATATTACCTAAAATAGAGCACAAACATATAACTTATCAACATAGCACATACATATGTATTACATAAACCATTGATATAAAGGTAATTTATTTTGATACAATAGTTCACATTCAGCGATAATTTTGATTTCCAATAACACATGTCCGCTGTTTCACAATCGTTATTTAACTCTAATATTAAACAATAAAATGTTTGCTTATCAGTTAATTTGATTTTGACTAAACTGATTTGTTTTTATTTCGATGTACGTTTGATTTTACAGTAAACTGTTTAAACAGAGGTTAGAGACAGTAGTTTACATTAGAATTTCATTAAGAATCGTTGATGTGAAATATTGTCATTATAAGTAAGATGATGACAAGACAAGAGATTTGCATCATGTCCCTACATCTTAAATGAATTTTTATGTAGGAGGCAGATCTATTATATAATTTAATGGCTTATAATTGTACAGACACATATGTATTTCTATGTGTTTTGTTTTTATAAATTCTCAATTTTGATTGGTTAGATAGTGCAATATTTTCTGTTCAGTTTTCTCTTATGTCACCACCAACTTTTTTAATTTATGGACGGTTTTCGGTGGTCGGTGTTCGGCGTGCGGAGGTTGGCGTAATGGTGGTCGGCGTCTGTAACAAATGGCAGGTGGAGACATTTTGCATGTTAATGCCTTGTACCGTATATTAGTTTTTATAGTAAGTTATCCCTACCTTGTACATAGACCTCTTCATTCAGTTGACTTTCAAAGTTATATCTCAATTGTTAACCCCATAGTCGGTATATACATTTTACAGTCAACCTTTGGAGAGGTCAATAATACTAGATACTAGACCATAGCATCATATTCACCTACCCACCTATTGCTCCCATAAGAAATGTAAGTCCATATACAATAGCCACCAGGGTGAGTTGAACTACATTGATTTCAGGATCTGATGTGCCATTTGTCCAGTTCGGGAGAGTACGATTTGGACCAGGCCCTTTCTTAAAAAGATCTGAAAAATCAAACTCCCTTGGATTGATCTGTCCGTTGTTGCCAAAAGGGAACGCTTTTGTAGTTTCTTCAGCACTACCATTAACAATTTTGCTTAGTACTGATTGGTCAGTGCTTGATTCTTTTTCTTGGGTTACTTTTTCATTTTCAGTTATATTTGCATCTTGTGTCACTCCTGTTTGTAGAAGAGCAGTTTTATTGGACGAGTCTGATTGTGTTGTATTCGTATCTGTTGAAAATGTTGCACTTGTTGTTGAAACAGTTGTAGTGTATGATGAAATGGTTGTACTGCCATGTGAAAAGGTTGTCCCAGAAACTGGTTCCGAAGTACTCGAATCCACGCATATTATGGAAGTTGCTGGAAGAATTGAAGAATCATATTATGACGCAGTCAAAAGAAAGTGAAAAGAGCAATACAGTATTTATCATATATTGAGATTGTACACTCGCACTATAAAGTATATGGTAACTGCGACTCTAACCGAAATGTCCATGAGCCCACGAACGAATTATGGTTACAAGGGATTGCATTTTACATGATCCTTACCCCTGCTTACGGGCTATAGACACAAAAGGAAAAGTCTTGTAATTTTATATTCATGTATTTTGATGACTCGTACAGACGAAAGGTCAGAAGTAAATTGTTGGGTCGTCCTCCTGTTCTGTCCTGGATAATATGTCCATATTACTCTAAACACTATTTAAAATCTCCTACATCAAATACTCTACTTCTAAACTATCGCGAAAAGGTTTGCAGGCTATTTTTGAGATTTTACATGAAAATGAAACGCAATGAACGCATTGCGTTTATAGAATTTATAGTTCTCGGAGATAATAATTAAGTCATTTTACAAAATAATGGAGAAGCAACCATTTTTTACATTACATTTATACCGGTAGGGTTCAATTGTCACATTAGACTTCCAACGGATGGATTTACACTTTGGATCCCTGGATTTCACTTAAAAATTGTTACGTGGGGCCGTTGGAAAAAGATTAGTTCCATGTCTCATTTTTAAACTTTTGTTTCATATATGGTTGGGAAAATAGAGTCTCTAATGTTCCATTTGAATGAGGTCATTAGATTCAAAGATACGTTTACGAGAGCTTTATGGAGGTCTTAATAGAAGGGCTTAATCCGTGGATAATCTGCTCATCTATTATACCTAAGTCATATCTCCCTCTCTGCTGGTTGATGATAACGTGTTTGATTTACCGCTTCTTAAAAGTGTATACGTCATGTACATTTCCCAGGAGCAGATGTAAACATATAAAAGTAGTACAGTAAAACCTGTATAGAGTGAACACATATGAAGCGACAAAAGGTGTTCACTCGAGGCAGGTGTTAACTACAGAAAGAGGATTTTATACAGGAGTAAATATAAAACGTCTTGAAGTGGTGTTCACTTAACACAGGTGTTCATTAGAGAGAGGTGTTCACTAAGACAAGTTTTACTGTACACATCTCATCGGATGGAAAGATGGGTAGAGAGTAGACATAGAGGGTAATGAGGGGATAAGGTGTGGCTAGGAGTGAGACGGATGCGTGTTAAAACCAGACTTTTTAAGTGTTTGAATAATACACAGATCAGGGGAATCTACAGGCATGTATTTCGGGGGCATTGAAAATATGTGTTTCTGTGTTTCATGTTACACCTGACCATACTAAATGTCGGATTTTATTGACCTTTAAAATTGAAAATAAAAAGGAATTGTTGAATAGAGTTAACTTACTGATATGTATGCTTTGACTTTCTATTATTCATTGTGTGAATTACATTTGGTACTATCCTAAGTGCGATATAATGGGCTATAAGCTATATTCTTTAGAATATATAGAAGCACATGGTTCCTCTATGAAACTGATGAAGAAAGGAGTCAATTGACTTATTATTGGCGTAACTATTGCTGCTTTGTGATGTAATATGCCATTAGAAAAAACATTTTTAGATCTGGATACGTTGATTAATCAAGCCTAATGAAGATAATATCATATGAATTCTCTTGTACATGATACTGTACAGGGTGGGCCAAAAAATGGAACATTCATATCGATTCTACTTATTGACGCATCTTTTTTACTAAAATTGCTCTTATTTGGAAAATGTTCGTCCAATTTACACAAAAATGTCTCAAAATATGTAGAAATGATATCTGCTGACTAATTTCACTAAATTGAGCATCGCCTGTTGTATTGAATATGTATGGAGTAAAATGTCAAAAGGAAAATGAAAATCCTCTGGTTTCAAACCGAATTTCAAATATTTGTAGATGTGCGTATAAATCTTAAGCCAAATAATGCCTTTTTATCAGTTTCACTGAGGAACAATGTGGTGCTATATATTTCAAATGCTTTTTAGCCCACTCTGTACTTATATGGTTTGAGTTGTTTTAACTGCAATTGTTGACCTTTCTCTTTTGTTATTTAAAGTTACAATTATCTAGCTATAAATGGTCATCCCCCTTTATCAATCTCACTGGCTGGCCTCTTTTTGTTTTCCTATTCCCCGTATGATTTATAATAATCTAGTCACACTATAGCAACAACAAAGGGCTTGTTTGTTTCTACTAATAAGTAAAAAGATTGTCGATTCACATTAGAGCGATCTCTGAATGCTCCATCAAAAGTTCCCCGTGGGTGCTATACCAACGACATATTTATAAATATTTCATTTTTACATTTACGTAATTGTGATATTTTTTGAGATGGAGTTCGAATTGAATATATGTCTTACGTCTTGCGATAGAAGTCTGTATTTACTATAAATACATAAAGTTGGATTACGTTTTATAATTAGAGTCATTATTAATTGAATAGGAAAGCTTAACACAAATGTTTAATGAGATCTGTTGAATAAATATACATACTGAGCTCACATAGTTGTAACTTATAAATCATTGTCTGAAAATATTGTACTCTTACTAATGCGATTTCTGAACTTGGTAGATGCTAGGCATACGAATGCAAATGGAAACATGAAATGAAAAATGACTTTACGTCCATTCTCTAATGAACTTATGGAAGTAAGTGATGGAAAATTGCTGCTCTTGTTACGACTCTGCCATTATATCACTAATAAAAAACCTTGCTTTATAATTTTTAAAGCGCACAATTTCATTTTTGTATTCACGCTGAAGGACCTTTATACATAACTCCGCTATAATTGGTTGTGATGAGGCCATTGACTTATATCGTAAATCGTAACATTGCACAGTTGAAAATAAATCACAATTTCTGTTCTATGTTCAGGTATCATGTTTTTTATAGATCAGAAACAGCTGCCCCAATCTTTGATAAATGCTCCATTTTTCAATTTATATTCCATTCCACGTTGTGACCTTTCAATTTATACAACGATATTTAGATTCCGAATCGATGCTTTTAAGTAACATCAACGCAATTAAATGGAAATCTATTTTTGAGTTATTATTTTAGTTTAATTTCTATGTTTGTGATTGTAAAGTGACTAATTGACATATTTCCATTAAACACGTTTTGTTTATTCATGGATGCTGTTTGTGTGATATACCATACGAAAGAATATTTAAAGACCCGGATACTTTGATTTTTCAAGACCAACGAGGACAAAGCATACAATTTCTGAACAATTTATGACAGAATGGGCATCAAACAGCCGAACCTATGCAAATGGTACCGAAATTACAGAAAATATTATTTGACATCCTGTAACTCAATCCCTTCATATTGTTTGTTAGATGCTATCTTATCTTTGTATTCCAGGTACATCCCTTGTGGTTTCTGACGATAAACTTCATTTTAGTTCATTGAATAATTATTAGAATCACTTTGAATATTTCTGATGGTTAACTTCATGTTTAGTTCATTGAATAATTGTTCAGTGCACTTTGAATACAATAAATTATTCCAAAACTCAAGGATATTCCTGTTATATTGTTCAAACATGTGTTAATATCTGATTTTCATTATCATATTATTTTCTATTTACAGAGTATTAATTACCTGTAACAAATCAGTAAAGCATCTGATTGTCACACAGATACATTGCAAAATCATAAAAAGCATCAGAATAGAGAGATCCAAAAGCCCGTATACACCCTAGACAAAAAGCCCCAATAAAGCCCTCGACTAAAAGCCTTCGAATAAAATACCTCCAAAAAGCCCTCAAACATCCTTGCCTAAAGACCTCAAAAAGCATGCATACAGCCCTCGACTAAAATACATCCAAATACCCGAATACTACCCTTGACTAAAATATTTCCAAAAGCCTGTATACACCCCTTGAGTAAAATACCTTCAAAAGCACACATACACCATTCGACTAAAACATCCCCAATACACATCCCTCTCAATGCACACCTCTCATCAAGCAAAAGACGTGTCTCGGTGCTCACTCGGGATCGTATAGTTTTTTTTATAAACACTAGTCATAAAATGTTTTCATGCTTATTTGCTGGAAAGTATATTTTGTTTGTTTGTTTGTGAATTGGCGGTGCAGGAACACATAAAATAAGATGACGTTGGAGTGTTTTTATTTTCGCATAGTTAAAGGTCATTTTTAAGTCATGTCCACTTGTAAAGGTCACGTTGTCTGTTTATTCATATGTTTGTGTAATGCCTTCATATTTGATAAAAACAATTACCTTTTTGTTTTAGTTTTGGCATTAAACAAATCCAACGCGTTCAACATTTATAAATGGCCCCACGGAACAGTACTTTGTCAAATCAGTGTTATTTCCAGCGAGTGAGACTCCAGTCTATTAATTACTTTTATTTTTCCTTAGAATATCAAAAGTGTATTAATAATTGCAAACATAAATAAATGTCAAAGAGTGTAATTATATCTGATAAAACTGGCACCAGATTGCTTATAAATGAAGTCATGGTATGAATAGATACACACAGTTTGCATATAGCAATCGATGAGCTTGATTGAACAGATAAGTCTAATAGGTTTAATAGGTTTTTCAGGGCTTATTGACTGACAATGAAATTGACTGCAGAAAGCTATAAACTTCTCTCCAGTTAATATCTTTATCGGGCAATCAACATCTTTATTCCAAATTGAAGAGCTAGATCTCCGTTACCTGTTTTATTCTCAATTAAGATGTGCTTTATTTATGCTTAATTAGTAATATAATTACTAATCATTAAGTATATATTATAATAAGTAATATTCTATTTGTGAAATAGCCTTGCCCAAGTTTTTTTTACTTATCTGATATCTTATCTTATCCGCGGTCATGATAGAAATCAAGATAAGTAAAAGAGACCGACTTGGGCAAGGCTATTTGTGAAAGTAAAATGGGTATATATCTGTGGCAATAGATATTGTGCTATACCTGTATTCAAGAAAGAACTCTCAACTTTGATGCATGACATAACATTTCATAGATGAAATGTATATTATGTGACAAACATATATCGGTATACAAATATATATCATATATCGAGACCAACGTGAAAATACTTCGAATTTGAATTAGTAATTTACTAGCCTTTTTTGTACTCGTGATTTATAAGTTTTTGTATGACGTCATATCGGGATGCTAAACATATAAACTTCCTTTGACATCCTCTTCCAGTGGGTGGGGAAACATTTAATTATAGGTCTGATAAAGCTCTAATAGTTTATTTCGTTTATAAGTGTTTGCTAATTGTATAGTGTGCCAATGACCAGATAAAATATCCATTTATTTTCTTGTAGACTAGAAAGGCTCATTAAGTTCGGAATACTTACGACTTGTACAGGTATAATCATAGTAATTATACATTTAGAGAGTTCTAACCCATTACCTTAATTATATCCATCAATATTTATATGACCATGATTGATAGAGATCTAGAGATTGTTTTGTTTTATACTTTAAATTCACTTACCCATAAGTAAAACGTTGATAACACACTGCATCTTTGAAATCATCTTCTTTGTGAATTTCTGAAGAAGTAACGAATTGTATTTCAATAATCCAAACTAACTTGAAGGCAATCAATTGTTGCGCTTTTATAGTCGAACTGTGACGTCACTGAAATTTATTCCGAGCGTCCCGACACTGGAATTCTTGATTAAGGAACTACTACTGTAAAGTCCTATTATCTGCTAGGGATCTGTGCGTAGATCATTAATTTTTCATTGATAAGCGGATGATACAAATGAAATAATATATCACACTGGTGTTTATTGAACAATTTGAACTGATCAATAAAAGCATTTAATTAAAATAGAATTGTATGTTTTGAATAAACATACATTGCACTTGTCCAATTAGCATACTTGTCACAAAAATGAAAAATGAAATATTGTATATTTTTGGCGTTCGAAAGAATGGTCTTAATCCCTATCAAGAAATTGAAACGTCAGAGTAAAATAAAATATGTTATGAAAAAGCTTTAGTTCAATTTCCTATATTTTATAATTTATCATCCTATAGGCGGACAATCAGGCCAAACTTTTTGTTGAACTTTTTCTGTTTTTTTATTCATCATAAACATTTCTTACCTGCCAGTAGTCTGTATCTAGGAGCAAAGTGGTTGGATTTTCGTCATGTCCAACAACAGCTCAGTCACATTCTAATCCATTTATCCTCGAGACGACGTTGTCTGCTGTCCTAAAAGTGATATTCTTAACATAATTAACATTTCCATCATCCTTGACTTGTTTATATTTTCCAAAATGTGGAGCTATTTAAAGTATTTCATTGACAGACTCGAGAAAGAGCCTTTTATAAATTTAATGTTTGAATTTAAAAGGGTACGTTTAAAGTTTGAACTATGTATGTGACATCTCAATATTTACAACAGATTACTTTTTGTTAGCTCTCTATAGTTAATTATTTTGCTTGTAAATGCTTCCCTATTAAATCTACAAATATATGAAAGAGCCTATCTTATAAAGCCCCAAATAGAGCATACCTAAAAAATAACATTAACTTACCGTTTATCAAAGGTAGGGGTAGGCAGACACAGCTGAGTGTCGTTCAAAGCGATCTAAACTCGTTCTCTTTAATTTGAATCACCAATTGTTGAAATAAAAGCGAGCGAGAGAAATCTTAACTATTCCGGTCTAATCCCATAATAAAATAGCCTGCTAATCCAAAAGTAATGCTGATAAAAAATATCACTGCATTTAGTCCGGTTCCAGAGGCCTAGATTTGTCTTTTCTCTGTTTAGATATTTGTAACACAGGTTTGATGAGCAGAACTAATCCCTCTTAATCCTATTGTGATGCAAGAATACACAGATGGATTAACTTACCTAGGTTACTTTGTACTTTTCTTTGTCGCTATTCGTTATTTTCGAATTATTGTTGCACAATTACAAATAATTAGTAATTAAGGCATAACTACGACCGATAATTTTTGTTTATTAGGAAACACATTTTCATTTCTTTGTTCCAGTCGAATTCAGTGGGATTCTCCTTAATTAGTAGAAAACCACTTTGTTCAGTATCGAGGATGACGCACCATGCTCGTTAATGTGACATACTATTTATTATTGATATTTATTTTTATATTTCCCATACAGAAACCAAATAAAGTCCCAATGAAGAAGCGATCATGAGAACTTCTAGTATGGTTGTCATAGTTTCAAGATATTAAACAACAGTAACGTAAGACAAAGGCTTCCCCACCTATTATTGTCTTGTACAGAATAAATGTTTATTCGATTAATCGTTTATAAGGCCATTCAATTACTAAGATAATTCAGTATGATGTTGAGGTTCCATGAAGATTACTGTACCCTTTTTAATTAACTTGTCATTTAAACCCCTTTCAAATTTCCTCAGTTTGCGTCTTGTTTCCGTTTTTCTGCCTTCGCTCTTCAGCCAAAAGTGTAATATTTGATGTCGTTACACATCAATGTTTCCGCATAAAAATACATAGCCTAGACTATTTCTGTTGACTTAGCATATATTAATGTTAACACATTGTTATACATAGACTATTTCTGTTGATGCTACCTATATCAATCAATCCAAAATATACTATTTCTGTTGACTTAGCATATATCAATGTTAACACATTGTTATACATAGACTATTTCTGTTGACTTAGCATATATCAATGTTAACACGTTGGTATACATAGACTATTTCTGTTGATGCTACCTATAACAATCTTTCCAACATATACTATTTCTGTTGACTTAGCATATATTAATGTTAACACATTGTTATACATAGACTATTTCTGTTGATGCTACCTATATCAATCTTTCCAACATATACTATTTCTGTTGACTTAGCATATATTAATGTTAACACATTGTTATACATAGACTATTTCTGTTGATGCTACCTATATCAATCTTTCCAACATATACTATTTCTGTTGACTTAGCATATATTAATGTTAACACATTGTTATACATAGACTATTTCTGTTGATGCTACCTATAACAATCTTTCCAACATATACTATTTCTGTTGACTTAGCATATATTAATGTTAACACATTGTTATACATAGACTATTTCTGTTGATGCTACCTATAACAATCTTTCCAACATATACTATTTCTGTTGACTTAGCATATATTAATGTTAACACATTGTTATACATAGACTATTTCTGTTGATGCTACCTATAACAATCTTTCCAACATATACTATTTCTGTTGACTTAGCATATATTAATGTTAACACATTGTTATACATAGACTATTTCTGTTGATGCTACCTATAACAATCTTTCCAACATATACTATTTCTGTTGACTTAGCATATATCAATGTTAACACATTGTTATACATAGACTATTTCTGTTGATGCTACCTATATCAATCTTTCCAACATATACTATTTCTGTTGACTTAGCATATATCAATGTTAACACATTGTTATACATAGACTATTTCTGTTGACTTAGCATATATCAATGTTAACACGTTGGTATACATAGACTATTTCTGTTGATGCTACCTATAACAATCTTTCCAACATATACTATTTCTGTTGACTTAGCATATATTAATGTTAACACATTGTTATACATAGACTATTTCTGTTGATGCTACCTATAACAATCTTTCCAACATATACTATTTCTGTTGACTTAGCATATATTAATGTTAACACATTGTTATACATAGACTATTTCTGTTGATGCTACCTATAACAATCTTTCCAACATATACTATTTCTGTTGACTTAGCATATATTAATGTTAACACATTGTTATACATAGACTATTTCTGTTGATGCTACCTATAACAATCTTTCCAACATATACTATTTCTGTTGACTTAGCATATATTAATGTTAAAACATTGTTATACATAGACTATTTCTGTTGATGCTACCTATAACAATCTTTCCAACATATACTATTTCTGTTGACTTAGCATATATCAATGTTAACACATTGTTATACATAGACTATTTCTGTTGACTTAGCATATATCAATGTTAACACGTTGGTATACATAGACTATTTCTGTTGATGCTACCTATAACAATCTTTCCAACATATACTATTTCTGTTGACTTAGCATATATTAATGTTAACACATTGTTATACATAGACTATTTCTGTTGATGCTACCTATATCAATCTTTCCAACATATACTATTTCTGTTGACTTAGCATATATCAATGTTAACACATTGTTATACATAGACTATTTCTGTTGACTTAGCATATATCAATGTTAACACGTTGGTATACATAGACTATTTATCTTGATGCTACCTATAACAATCTTTCCAACATATACTATTTCTGTTGACTTAGCATATATTAATGTTAACACATTGTTATACATAGACTATTTCTGTTGATGCTACCTATATCAATCTTTCCAACATATACTATTTCTGTTGACTTAGCATATATCAATGTTAACACATTGTTATACATAGACTATTTCTGTTGACTTAGCATATATCAATGTTAACACGTTGGTATACATAGACTATTTATCTTGATGCTACCTATAACAATCTTTCCAACATATACTATTTCTGTTGACTTAGCATATATTAATGTTAACACATTGTTATACATAGACTATTTCTGTTGATGCTACCTATAACAATCTTTCCAACATATACTATTTCTGTTGACTTAGCATATATTAATGTTAACACATTGTTATACATAGACTATTTCTGTTGATGCTACCTATAACAATCTTTCCAACATATACTATTTCTGTTGACTTAGCATATATTAATGTTAACACATTGTTATACATAGACTATTTCTGTTGATGCTACCTATAACAATCTTTCCAACATATACTATTTCTGTTGACTTAGCATATATCAATGTTAACACATTGTTATACATAGACTATTTCTGTTGACTTAGCATTATTATATCAATGTTAACACATTGGTATACATAGACTATTTCTGTTGATGCTACCTATAACAATCTTTCCAACATATACTATTTCTGTTGACTTAGCATATATTAATGTTAACACATTGTTATACATAGACTATTTCTGTTGATGCTACCTATATCAATCTTTCCAACATATACTATTTCTGTTGACTTAGCATATATCAACGTTAACACATTGTCATACATAGACTATTTCTGTTGATGCTACCTATATCAATCTTTCCAACATATACTTTTTGACGTCTAAATCGGCAATTTCTCGGAAACCGGGCAAACCTTGAAAATCCATGAAAAAATGTGTAATATATCTGCCTCTATCTGTAATAATAGTTCTCAATCCCAGAAAAATAATTACAGTACATTATATATGTCTTCCTGAAACTTTTGTGACCATTCACAATTCATTCTTACAGTACCTCGATGTGTTTCGATATTCAATGCGTTAACTATCGGAACAATTCATACAGAATGCTCATTAAACGTGAGTTTCTATAATAAAAAGTCACAATGTTTTTACAATTTTATCCTAAACATAAAATGATTGTCTAGGCTCAAAATAACAATGTTAATTTGGCAAGATTTGAGGAAAATGATGGAAAATAATTACAAATAAAGAATTATACCTAAAATTATAGATATTCTGCAATTTTAAAAGCTGTTTTCGAATACGTTACATTTCTTGCTTTGAGAAATGATTTCTTGCTTTGAGAAATGAAATGAAAAACTTGTATTTTTGGGGTTTACATACATGAACAGAAATGTTCAAACTTTATACTCCCTAATTTTCATGACATTTGGTTCAAATCTGCTCTTTTAAATAGAACATATTGTGAGTGTCCCATTTTTATTAGCCCACCCTGTATAGTATATTGTAAGGTTTCAATCTATATAAAAAGATGATGTGCTGTTGGTGATTAAACGATTAACCGATTTCTTCATCTTGTCATTTTTCACTCTTTAGAAATAAAACCATTATTGGGGCGATCTAAATTAACCGAACAACTGAACTACTTTTTCAAATGTAAGAATTTTGATTTTTCTAAATACGATGCTTTTTCACAAATAATATATGTTTTTATTTTTGATTTTTAGATATCATGAACTTAATTATATAAATGAATCGCGTGCACTGTACTCGTGCAATTCAATATAATTTAGAAACAGTTCATGCTTTCAATTTTGCCATTTTCGCGCAATTAATGTTATTTTTGTTTATTGTGAAAATTCGAACTCGAATTCCGGTTTGTTTTGACACTTAGCCTTACTTTTATTATTCAATTCTGTTATTGTGGCTTATGATTAATTATGTGTATTATTTTCATTATCATAGATGTATGCTGAGTTCAAATAATTATCTGATATTCTACATTTAAATACAATTGCAAATTTAATTCAATGGAAGAATGTGTATATCTATTAATGCAACCTACATCTACTATTATTTATAGGTAATTAATTAATTTGTTTTTCAATCATAAAACATTTAGCGTCGTGTTCCTGGAAGTATTACATGTGTTTAATGATGCATAAACTAAAAGAATAATACTCTTATGGAACGCTGAGTTTTATTTCAAAGGAACAACAGAACAAGCTTAAATAACTAAGGCTTCTTTGGATGATATTAGCAAACCATTACAATTTATAAATAAATAAATATTTCAACAATATTGCTTTTAAGCAGCTTTTAAGATGCCTTTAAAACTAATGCTTGATTTTTTCAAATAGAATTCCAT